CTATGTTTAAAACAATAAGGCTTAAGATATTGATGAATCTTTAACAGAACTAAAATAGAAGTTTTAATGTCAAAATAATTTCTTATGTTTTCTACTATCTATTAGGGTTTGATTGTTTATAAAATTGAGACTTAGCTACTTAACTGCACTGAGGTATCTGTTTAAAGTGTTGGTTACATCAACTATTTATTATACATGATATGCCTTGTTTTTTAAAAATGTAACTGTCAAAAAAATGTAACTGTCGTGGTGTAATAGTCTGTCATGATCGTTATCATAATATGCTAAAAAAGTAACAATTGATTTTGCTATATTACTATATCGCTTTTTGCTAATAGTCATTTACCTGGGAAAAGCTATACTCCTCTTGGTCATAAGAGACAATTCTGTGCAAAAACGAATGTTCTGGGGGAGCGAGCAGACCCAAACTGGAGGAACAGCACCCCACCCACAGGGGAGCAGGGCATGGTGCACAGAGGGAAGGAATAACTAAGCAACTTGATCCCATACGAGGCCAACACCCAAGCAGAGAAGGGGACAGCAGCCCCCCAAGATGAGACACTAAGTACAACAGCCCACTTGAACTCCCACCCAGCAGCCTACCTAGTAGACACCAGAGGGATCATCACACAACCCACCTACCGATGGGGTCAACACACCTCGGCTTGGTGTGACAGCAAGGAGTCACTTATATGTGGCCACAGAAATTTGAGGTTCGGCTCTGCATAGACAGAGAAGAGCCACACAATGATTTTTAAAAGATGAAGGTAGGGCGGGGGATGTAGCTCAGTGGTGCAGCCCCTGCCTGGCAAGCGCAAGTCCCTGAGTTCGATTCCTAGTACCAAAAAAAAAAAAAAAAAAAAAAAGGTTTATTGTAAACTACAGCAGTTATGAGCATAGTTAAATAGTATGTTACAACATGACGAGACAGAGGACAGCACCAAAGATGAAGGGGAATCGTCTGGGAAAAGATCTGGCATGAGACGGAGCCTTGGGCAGGCAAGAGAGAAAACGCCATGTCACATCCAGTTCCTCAGACCCTAAGTACTGTGTTCACACAAAAGCGACTGGGCGCCAGCAGCCCTGCGGGGCTGGAAGGGATCTCTCCAAGCCGTAGCGAGAGCCTGGAAACGGGTCAGCCTTTTAGGTGTTAGCCGTCATCTCTGTACACCCTTCTCAGGGGACAGTAGCCTCCCTGAGAAAGGCATGTAGCCAAGGTCATTTCAGCGAACACCTGCGATCTAGATGACTGTCTTCAAATTTTAACCCTTTCCCTGACTCTCGGACAGTAACTGCAATCCAGGCAGGAGCACACAGAGGGGCCTCTACTGCAAGGACAGCACCTCAGAAATCAGACGCAGAAAATCATGACTGGCTGAATCCCAAGACTGCAGGTCTTGGGGGGGGGGGGGGCTCATTCAATAACACAAGAATTATTTTTGAGTCAGTATTTCTTTTCATTTTTCTGTTTTGTATTATTTTTATCTTTCATTTGGGCTTTCTGGGGATTTGGGGTTTTCGCCCCTTTCTTTTCCTTCTCTTTTAGTTTCTTTTCTCTCCTTTTCTCTTTTTCCCTTCCAACATTTTTTACTTCCTTATCTTTCATCTCTTGGACTGCATTTTTCTTCTTTTACTTGTTCATTCCTTCCAGTGACTGTTCTCTGTCACTGTTAATTTCCATTTACTCCCCAGTGGGACCCCTATCTTACTTGTCTCTCCTCCATCTCATATCTCATTGACCAATTTTTCAAATTTTCCTTTTTCTCTCTTTCATTCCCCAGCTCCTCCACCTTTACTAGTATAACAAGCTTTAGGAACCTCTAGATAGATAGTTAACTTCAAGCTACTGTTGTTGAATACTGTGCTATTGTTAATAGAGGTAGAATTGTTCCATATGGGAGATATATATTGTAGGTCAATAGTGAGTCAATATTAGGTTTGTTTAGTGCTCATTCGGTAATTGTAGAGCTCTTTTCTATGGATGGAGTGGTACTTTATCAGTCCTTAGGGTTTGTCAATATTCAGTTTGTATTTGATACTATAATTGATGCTGATTTTATTGCTCTAGCAAGATGGCATATCTGTTGCTATTTCTTGGTTTTCTTGAGATGCCAATATCTGGACTTACTCAGCATCATTAACAATACTATGGCCCTCTCCCAGAAAACTGGATACTGGGACAAATATACTGCAACCTCTCCTTTCAAGGAAATGGAGGTTGTTGGTGCCTGGGACAGAGGCAAAGGCCAGTAGTTAGCCATGCCCAGAGGACGCCACTGAAAATTAGACATTAACCAAAGAAGTCTACATTCAAAAAAAAGATTTCCACTACAATTAACCCACAAGCCTCAACAACAAAAACAAGAACAACAAAATAGAAACATGAGAAAAAAGCCAACAAAATGCATCCAGAAATTCTCAAGTCCTGAAAGCTGAACTATGGGGCATTAAAAGGAAGAAAACCAAAACCCACACACCTGAATTATGTGAAATGATATTAAGGGAGATAATAAAACAGACCAGTATGGAATTTGACAAGCTCACGGGACATATAAGTAATAAGATTGGGCCAAATCAATAAAATGATTCATGAGCCTACAGAAAACACCAATAAAAAATAGAAGAATTAAACAAAATGATGCCAAGCAGAAAGGACTGACATAGAAAAGAATTAGAGTTCATAAAAGGCCTCCAAATAGAAATTTAGGAGATTAAAAGTTCTATCAGGGCCGGGGATTTAGCTCAGTGGTTCTGCCACCTGCCTCGCAAGTGCAAAGTCCAGAGTTCGATCCCCAGTATCAAAAAAATATGAGCAGCAGAAGTGAGCAATGCAAGGACAGAACATCAAAAATAGGAGGCAGGGCTGTTGTCGGTGACTTATTAATGAGAGACATCTTTAAAATAATAAGAGAACATGAAAAATGGATCCAGCAGCTCCTACATGAGGCAAAGCAGACTGATGTGAAATTAACTGGAATTACTGAAAAACCAGAAGATGGCACAAATAGCATTAAAAAATTTTTACTAAAATAGGAGCAAAAAACTTTCCAAATAAGGGAAAATAATTTAATAGATTAAGTGAGGCATATAGAACCCCAAATAACCACAATCAAAAAAGAACCTCTTTGTGAAACATCATAGTCAAAATTTGGGAAGTCTAACACAAGAATAGAACCTTAAAAGTGGTTAGAGAAAACCAAGGAATCACTCATAAAGAAAACCTGTTAGAATTATAGCAGTCTTCTCAACACAAAGCTTAAAGGCTGCTTGAAGTGAAGTCTTTCAAGCCCTAAAGGAAAATAATTTTCAACCCAGGTTGAGATATCCTGCAAAACCGTCTTTCAAAATTGGTGGAGAAATAAGATACTTTCATGACAAAGAGCTCCTAAGTAAATTCATTTTCACAAAACCAGCACTGCAAAATATTCTGACGGTTGTCCCAGAAAGAGACAATGAAGCTAACGACAAATTGTCTAATAGAAGGAATATACCAGGTAGGATGAGCAGTTAAGTAGAAGAGAAATATAGGAAATCAGCAATGGGAAAATAAGGCAACGGCAGGATAAGTAACGCCTATCAGCAATAATTCTCAATGTGCATGGTCTCAATTCCTCAATCAAAAGGCACAAACTGGCAGAATGGATCAAGGAAAAGAAATCCAATGGTATACCATATACAAGAAGCATGTCTAAGCCAAAAAGGAACACATAGTAAAAATCAAGGGATGGAGAACCATACTTTAAACAATGGGAGCCCCCCGAAAAGCAGGTGTAGCTATCCTATATTCAGACAAAGTGAACTTGAAGCCAAAAGTGATCAAAAGAGGTAAAGAAGTCACTACATATTAGTTAAAGGAACAATCTAACAGGAAGAAATAATTATTAACATATACACACTGAACAGTGGTGCATTTACTACATAAAACCAGTACCACTGGACATAAAAAACCAGATAAACATAAAAACAATTGTAGTGGGAGGCCTCAACACCCAGCTATAATAAACAGATAAATAGACCAAAAAATCAACAATGAAATAAAGAGTTAAACTCTTGAACAAAGCCAGGTGTGGTTGTACACACCTATAATTCCAGCACTCAGGAGGCTGAGGCAGGAGGAGTGTATGAATTGGAGGCCAGCCTGGGCTACATAGTGAGTTCAAAGCCAGCCTGAAATATAGAGCAAGACCCTCTCTCAAAAAACCAAAAACCAAACCCAAAAAACTAAACAAAACAACTCCTTTGAACAAATGGATTTAATAGATAACTACAGAGAGTTTGACCCAATAACAATGGAATACACATTTTTCTCAGAAGCACAAGAAACTTTTTCCAAAATAGACCACAGCCTAGCCAATAAAGCAAGCTTAAATAAAGGTAACAAAACTTTAATTATACCATGCATATTATCAGGTCATAGTGCAAAAACCTGGAAATCAATAACAAAAAATCACAGAAATTATGCAAATGCATGCAAACTAAATAATACATTCTAAGGCCGGGGATTTAGCTCAGTGGTTTTGCTGCCTGCTGCACAAGCGCAAGGACCCAAGTTCAATCCCCAGTACCAAAAAAAACAAAAACATTCTTAAGTAAACAGTGGATTACAGAAGAAATAAATATATAGGACAGTTTCTAGAACTAAAAGACAATGCCAGTACAAAATACCAGAATTTATGAGACACAATGAAAGCAGTCTTAAGAGGGAAGTTTAAGGCTTTGAATGCCCATGTCACAAAAACAGTGAGCCCAAATAACCAAATGGCTACCTGAAGGTCCAACAAAAACAAGAACAACACAAACCCAAACCTACTACACAGGGAAGGAAATTATAAAGATCAGACCAGAAATCAATGAAATCGAGACTAATAAAATCAAAACAGAATTAATAAATTCAAGAGTTATTTCTTCAAAAGAATAAACAAAATAGACAAACCCTTAACCAATCTAACCAAAAAAGGAGAGAAATGACCCAAATTATGCAATCAGAAATGAAAAAGATGAAATTACACAGATACTGCCAAAATCAAAAAGATTATTAACAACTATTTCATAAAGCTCTATGCCAATACTTTGAAGAATTCAGAAGAAATGGGTAGATTGCTAGGTGTATATGAATTACCAAAACCAAACCAAGAAGATTTAAAAACGCTGAATAATCCAATAACAGGAAATTAAGTTGAAGCAGTGATAAAAAAAAAAAAGCTTACCAACTAAGAAAAGCTCCAGTTCGGATGGATGCCGAATTCTCCAAAAACTCCAGGGAAGATCTAACACAAATACAAAGCTCTTAAAGGAACTGAAAGGGAAGGAGTATTTCCAAAGTCATTCCTGGAAGCTAGCATTAACCTAGTTTCCAAAACCAGACAAGGATCCAACAAAAAAAGAGAATTATAGACCAACCTTTTTAGTGAATATAGATACAAAAATCTTCAACAAGATACCAGTAAACAGAAAGCAGAGAATCATCAGAAAGATCATATATCATGACCAAGTAGACTGAAGCCCAGGAATGCAAGGATTGTTCAACACACACAAATCAACAAATGTAATACATCACATAAACAGAAGCAAGAACAAAAATCACATGATCATCTCAATATAGAAAAAGCATTTGACAAACTCCAACAACTTTTCATGATAAAAAAAAAAAAACTTAAGAAAATAGGTCTAGAAGACCTTATCTCAATCTGATAAAAATCATTTATGACAAACCTACTGTCAACATCATATTAAATGAGGAAAAACTGAAAGCTTTCCCTCTAAAATCAGGAATAAGACAAGGGTGTGTACAATGAGCTGATGCTTAGTACAAGGTGTGATCAAAACATATCATGAATGTTTACATTTTAAAAATTTATTACAGTAAAAGACACATTGCTATTAACTCCCCTCAAAATACTCCTCCTCACTTCAAGCACACTTATCCCATCTTTCTTCCCACTCTCCGAAGCAGTTCTGGAGTCCTCTTTTGTGAATGTTTTTAGGAGGTCTGGTCAAAAACATGGTGAATGTTGTTAACTGCATGCCACCCAACGGAAGGCAGCTCATCAAAACTTCACAGTGTTTCATCACCCATTTGATTCACCACATCTGGCAACGGCAACTTCTAGCTCTTCCCCCAGTCCAAATGCCCATGAAAGGTATTTTTGCAGCCACGACAGTGCAACTAAAAACATTGATGTAAGAGAAATTCCAGAAAGCAGCAAGAATGATGGAAAGTGTATTTGAAGCGAGGGGAACTATTTTGAGGGGGATTAATGCCAATGTGTTTTTACTGTAATATTTTAATGTAAATATTCACTATTTCAATCACACCTCATACAATCATGAGATTGTTTTATCATTACCACTGCTATCTAATTCCAGAATACTTTCATTGCTCCCCAAAAAACCCTCCCCCTTAGCCAGCACACCCCCACCCCCTGCCAACCACTAATCTACTTTCTGTCTCTGTGGATTTACCTATCCTGGACATTTCATGTAGACAAAATCATACAAGGTGTGGATTTTTTTTCATTTAGTCTAATTTTTTTCATTTAGCATAATGCACCCATATTTCATGTTTTAGCATATGTGAAAACCTCCTTCCTTTCTATAGATGAGCAGTACTGTATGGATATAAATATACTTTATTCTTCATTTGTCAGTCTAGACACTTTTTAGGTAGCAATAAAAGTACTCAAAGCGAACCCAAAGCAAAGTACCCCCCAAGCCAATAAGGAGGCGACATGCATCTTCACCAGGCGGAGCCAAAGAGGGCCAGTGAATCCAGCTCCCCTCCGCCAGATTCACTGCCCAGCCCGCTGTTCCGAGTTAACTTTTTAGCTTCTCCTTCTGCTTTAGTTGTTCTCTCTAAAAAAAACACAACCTGTTAGTGTAATCTCACGTCTGTATAACTACTAATTACTAAAAATAGAGACTTTTCCCAAAGAATGCTGCTATTTACTTGGGGACGCCAGAGCATCCATGGGAAGGCGCTGCGGTGAGCTGAGGTGAATTCGGAGTCAGGGAAGTTCATCAAGACCAAGACCGAAGCGGGGGGGTTAGAAATAATCACCCCTGTTTCAAAGTCTCAGATAACTTTTTGTCTCAAAACAAATAAGAAACACAATAGGTTGGGCTGGGGATTTAGCTCAGTGGTTTCGCTGCCTGCTGCTCAAGCTCAAGGACCCGAGTTCGATCCCCCGTACCAAAAAAAAAAGAAGAAAAGAAAAGAAACATAATAGGTAAGCAAATTACTATTTTTGTATTTATCTATGATGCTTTTTCACTTAAGAAACATCAATCCATTTCCTCCCACTAATAAAATATCATTGAACTGGATGTGATGGCACAGGTCTCTAATCTCAGCACTCTAGAGGCTAAGGCAGGAGGATGGAGAGTTCAAAACCAGCCTACACAACTTAGCAATTTAGTGAGACCCTGTCTCAAAATAAAAAATAAAAAGGGTTGAGTATAAAGTTTGGTGTACAAGCCCAGGGCTCAACCCTCCACACCAAAACAACAAAAACATCATTGCTAATTAAACTAGGAAATGGCATTCATGGAAAAATGTGTTCTGACTTCTAGGAATATTAAAGAAAAGCTACAGGTTTTCCAACCAATAAAGTATAGTGCATGACTATTAGAAGGCAGTGAATGCTATGAAAGAAAACAAAAACAGAATAAGCGCCTTCAGCGCTCTGTGTGTTGGCACAGGCCCATATTCCAGCACTCTGGGAGGCTGAAGGCGGGAGGATCACAAGCTTGGGCTAGCCTGAGTAACTTAATGACTTGAGAAGCTGTCTAAAAAAACAAACAAAAAAATTTAAAAGAGCTGAGGACAGGATGTAACGCAATGTGAAGGCCCTGGGTTCACTTCCCATTACAGTACTGTGGGGAAAAAAAGCATTAGGTTTGTAGCAAGCAGTAGGGTAAAGGCTATAGTGTTAAACAGGGCAGGTCAAGACGGACTGCATTGAGGAGATGAGATTTGAACAAAAAGCACAGTATTATGAAGCAAGAGACTTAGTCAAGTGGATATCTAGTGAGAGAGGGTATCAGGCAGATGCAGAATAACAGGTAAGGTCCTAAAACAGCAGGTTGCCTGGCATGTTGAAGGGCCAGCGTGAATGGACTGGGGAGAGAGAGGAGAGACAATTCGAGGAGATGGGGTGAGAGGCGAGAGGCACTGATCACACGGGATGGAGCTTCTCAACCCCAACGGCCAGTGTGCAGCCTCAGCTTTGCATTTTTAACACACTTCCAGGGTGTGCACTGACTGCCCTTGGGGACAGATGGAAATCCAGGCCTACGTGTCTCGTCTCTCGCTGAACGGCCTCCAAGGAGATGTGCACCCATTGTTTGCCCCAAACCTGACTCCTTCCTTTGCAAGGCGATTCATATGCATTTTGACAATGAGAAGCAATTCACACTTCAGAGGGTTTTGCACCCGCAGGATTTCAATCAGAAACCCATCCTTGAGGAGCTGATACTTCGAGCACTTCAGCCGTCTCTAACTCAGATCAATTCTAGTGTAAAGATGTTAAAATGAGTACTTTAAAGATGGGTGGAATGAATTAAAATATTGCCAGGCATCAGCCTTTCATTATCAGAGCATAGGAATCTAGAGAGCATGGTAATCTACACACTTTGGGCAAAGGTCCCTTAGGGTTAGGATCTCAAGCAAGCCTCATATGCAGATAATTTATGAAAAGATCTCCTCACCCAACCCTAACTTGGAACAGGGAGTTGCTATGAGGTAGTGGAATACTGCTCTGTCTTCCCACAGAACCAAATGCCCACTGCACAGAATTACTTTCATCCCTATTGGACAAAAATCTAAGTCTGCACTCTTTAAACCATGGTTGTTGTTTTTTTCTACTTCTGCTGCTTCTCCTTCTCCTTCTCCTTCCTTCCCCTTAGCTTTCCCCTTCCCCTTCCCCCTCTTTTTCTCCCTCTCCCTCTTCCATTTCTGATGAACCCAGGGCCTTCACAACGAGCGACATCCCAAGCTCTTTTTTATTTTGAGCTAGGATCTTGCTTAGTTGCTAAATTTCCCAGTCTGGCCTTGAACTTGTGATCCTCCTGCCTCAGCCTCCCAGAGGGCTGGGATTTCGGGCATGTGTTGCCATTCCAAGTATAATCCACAGACTTAACAGGTGACATTTATTTAGAGGCTTGCTCGGCATCAGGAATAAATATGTCAGTAGATGAATACTAGGGAGAGAAAACACAGAGTATGTCACACTTTCCCATTTCTCTTCTACTCAGCTGACAGTAAAATATTCCTTTCTCATTAATACTTGGGGGAGTAGATTCACCTTGGGGAAATGAAGTGCAGAGTCTGGACCACCGGGCTGGGAAGATAAGGAGAGTCCACCCAGGGGCCCGGCCACATCTGGACACTGCATTAGGAAGCAAGGAAGAGAGAAGGTCAGCAGGACTTGGGTAAGCTGCTGCTAGAGAGGGAGGCAGGTAAACAGCTGTGGGGCAGGAGAAGATTTCACACACCAGTTGAATGAATCGTGTCTACTCCTCCTGTGAAAGGGAGAAAAACACAATTGTGAGATGCAGCAAGAGAATCCCAACCTGCCATCTCACCGCTCCACATCTCCAGCACCTGTGTGTGCTGCCACATGGGGTTTGGATAGCTGCTCTGCTGTCAGCCACATTCGTTTCCTACATCAACAAAGGAGAAACTTTCCCTAATGCACTGCCCGTCTTTCTCCAGTCCCTGCATGCATTTGCTGTGTCTCCGTGGCCTAAATTTGTGATCACCCAGCTTCAAGGAGGTTCAGAAAGTGATTATTTTGATTTCTTAACCTCTATGGTGAAGGTGATCAAAGCAGAAGAGGGAATGGATGTTGGAGCTAGTAAACCCAGAGAATGTGTGTGGAATGAGGGATTAAAGCCAGGGCCTTGGGGGGGGGGGAGGAAGGGAGGGAGGGAGAGAGAGAGGAGAGAGAGGAGGAAGAAGAAGGAGGAGGGGGAGGGAGGGGGAGAGAGAGAGAGAGAGAGAGAGAGAGAGAGAGAGAGAGAGAGAGAGAGAGAGAGAGACATATTCTCGCTAAATTTCCCAGACAGGAGGACAGGAATTAAACTTGTTTCTCCTGCTTCACCCTCCAGAGTGCTGGAATTATAGGTACGTACCAACACACCTGGCTCATATTACTTTGTCTAATTTAGTTTTGAGGTCACTCTCTGGGAGTGGCTATAAACCCTGCTGTGATAGCTTTAGGGGAGTTGGTCATAGATGTTTACAATGTGCCTTTCACAGGACTCTTTCTGTCTGGGTAGACAGCCTAAGTAACCTTTGCATAAACCGTGTCACACTCTGCATGGTTTAACTGCTCGAACCTACACCATAGGATCAGCTAGCATTCCAGCTATTAGGACTGTATCCTGCTGGGTCAGCAGCCAGCATCACACCAGAAGGCCACATTTCAGAGACAGAGCCACAAGTATTTTAGCCTTCTTCATGTCTGGATTACAAGATGTTTTGGCAGTTATCACGGTGAGTCTCAGAAATGGTTTTTGTTTTGATTGTTTTTCACTGGGAAAATAACAACTTCTTAACTGCCAGGATGAATATAGAGATGGGCTCCACAGAGTTCAAGATAGGTGAATTGGCTAAAATATTTTAGAGAATGCTCTCTACTCTTGAATAACCAGATTTAAAATGCCAAGGCACCCTCAGCTTTTGGAGACGGCCCTGAGGTCTCAGCCCTTGTGGTCCTGGTTTTACCTTGCATCTACAGGGTTTCTGATTTCCAGACGCTGATGCTGCCTATAAGGTACAAGGACCAAGAACCATACTTCAGCTTCTCAAATTTCTAGTGCAGGATAGTGGCCAGCCTGCCTAGATCTGCACTTATCAATGCAGTAGTCTGTACTCACATGTGTTGAGAAGCATTAAAATATGGATAGCTCTAATTGCAAAAATAAAAATAAATCAGATTTTAAAGACAGTACCCAAAACCTATGCGTACAAATCTCATCAACAACTGCTTAAGCGCAAGGTCCTGAGTTCGATCCCTGGTACCAAAAAAAAGAAAACAACAACAACAACAAAAAACAACTGCTTATGTTGAGTGTTTGCTTAAATAGCAATCTTTTGGATATATTGGATTAAAATATAATAATTAACTACATTCTTTTTACCGTTAGTGAGGCTCCTAGAAACCTTAATTTTACACGTGTAGCTCAAGCTCTGTTCCTATAGGACAGCGTTGACCTAGGACAGAGAGGTCCGGCTTCATCAAAATAGAGGATGGAGTCAATGAATCCTTTGAATCCATGTCATCATAAATATTTGTTTAGGACTTTTTGAATAAGTGCTAAGTTTTGGTACATATTTGTTTTCCTTTATGTTGAAGAAATTGTAGTGTCTTTATCCATCTTAAATTTGGGGGGCTACTGTTACGGGCTAGAAAGGATGCACAGGTTGTATATGAGCAAATAATTTAGATTCAGCTGTTAACCTGGAGATTCCAGAAGCATTAAGTTGTAGTGATGACTGAAGGACCCTAGTTAGCAAAACAGACTCCATATTGCTGCTGAACGACCCACCTGCCGGCCCTTTAGATAAACTCAGAAGGAGGAAGCTTAGAAACCTCCTCCCCTTAGAGAGTCTCTTAGAAACAACAATTAATCAACTATTGTTTTACAAATGTTCCAACAGTAGGACGTTTTCCTTCTGTACCTTTTGCTTGCTTTACTAGTTCTATCCCATAGCGGGGCCTAGAAACTGCTGGCCTCAAAGGTGTGTAAAACATGTTTGTCTCCCTCCACTCCGGGCTCTGATGCTCGGCTCAGGTCCCGGCCAGTAATAAACTCCTGTGTGGATTTAATATCGGTCTCTGGTTGGTTCTTTCTCGCTGGTTGTAACAATGACGACTACGGATCTTGAAGATGACAGTAGGGAAAATACTGTTTAGTTTGTGTGCTGCAAATGTGTATGTGTGTGTGTGTCTGTCTGTTTGGACTGCACTCAGGGTTGAACCCAGAGCCTTAGTACATCTTCAGGGTGCCCCCCGCCTTTTAAAATTTTTATTTTAAGACAAGATCTCACTGAATTGCCCAGGCTGGGGTCGAATCTGCAATCCTTCTGCCTCAGTTTCTAGAGGGCTGAAATTACAAGTGTGAGCCTATGGTCCGTCTCTTTCTCTTCTTTTTATTATTTTTCCTGCTACTGAGGTTGAACCGAAGAGCCTCGCGCATGCTAGGCAAGCGCCTCGTCGCTGAGCTCTTCTTTAAAAATTGGAGGCAAACTCGAAGTCGCCCAGGCTGGCTTCGAACTCGCGATCGTCCTTTCTCTCCCTCCAGGTAGCTAGTATTACAGCTGTGCTCCCCTATGGCCGGATAGTTACAGCCAATAAAGCAGGCGCCATTACCACTAGAAATAATCAGTTAATATCCCCAGTTTCACTTTTCACCGAAGGGCTCCACTCGCCAATCAAGGTCTCCGACAGACAGCTGCAGCTCTGGAGGCACACGATTTGGGCTCACGCAGCGCAGCCAATGAGGGTGCGGCATGCGGGCCGTCGCTCACCGAGTTCTCACCAATCGCCGTCTTCCTTTTCCTCTGCCCCCTTTACTACAGCGCTGGTTTGAGGCTACCGGAGGACATTTTTGTTTTGGGCGGAAGTGACACGAAACTGCTCAATTAAAAATTAGCTCAAAGATATATTTGTTCTTTCCTGCAAAAGTTAGAAAAGTTTCCCCACAGGCCAGCAGGGCTGGCGGGAGCTATGAGTAAAACTCAGAATCATCATGGGCCCCCACACTTAACATGGCGCCCGCTCTATCCGGGTTCCAGGTCCTCTCGCTTCCCTAGTGGCGTCAACGGGGCGGTGGCAGGCTTTCAGTTTATTTCCCGGCCGTCTGTGCGGCGTCCCAGCGGCAGCGGGGGAGTTGTAGGTGTTGTGGCCGCAGGCTCACGGGGAGGCCGAGAAGGCGCAAGCCGGGGACACCTTCTGTCCTCCCCGATGCCCGCAGGTAACCAGGTCGGGACGGGCTGGGCCGGAAGCCTGCACGGCGCGGGTGTCCGCGGCCCCGGGCGAGAGGCCCTGGTTGGACCGAGGGCCTGGGCTGGGGTTCCCTGTTGACGCTCTACTTTAGAATACAGAGGAGTCGCTGTACGGAGGCGGCTTTGCTGAGTTTGCGGGCTGAAGACCCGCTTGGTTCCTGTGGCCCTAAACATGCATCAGGAGGCATCGCTCGTCAGCCTGCGAGGCTGCCGGAGCGCGAGGGACACAGACCGACCCGGACCAGGGTCCCGGAGCTGGAGGCCCACACCTGCTCTGCCTGTAGAATTAAGTTGCAGGCTCCCTGACCTCCAGCAGAAAAAGAGAGTTTTTCAGGACTGGTCGATAGCAGGCATGGGGAGGGTTTCTAGGGAGAAATTTAAACCGCGCCCTGAAGAGTGGCGTGTGGGTGTTCAGAGAAATGAGGCCCCATACGAGCCGGAGCTGGCTGGTGTCTTTTACGACGTGTGTTCCTGCTTCCTGGCCGCTCACCCCTCTGGTAGGCTGTGTCCGGATGCAAACCATGTACGTGTGTTTGAACTTGAGATCTGCTGCCTACTAATCCTGCTGCTTCCTGGTTGGAGGTCTGTGGGAGGAAGCACAATTTACAGGTGGAAAGAGGCGGTTTATTCACAGGTGAAAGGGCTCATTTGCGGGTTAAAGGTGTTGCCCAGGCTTTTCGTGTCAGAGAGATTTAATGGGGCTATGTCTCGAAGCTGTAGTCCTTAAAAGTACAATTTTAAAATTCTGATTTTCGTTGCTTTGGCTTTGCCTGTCTTTATCTCTTCATTCCTACCCCAGTACCTGACCCAGATAAAAGCAAAGGTGGGGTGACGTTATCATTAGAGCCCAAAGCATCCAGCAGCACCACTGCCCCTGGAACGTCCCAGCTCGAGGTCCACGACAGGCTCACTGCTTTCTGAGAAGTGACTTGAGAGAAATATGTCCTCGGAGGACACAGGTTTCTTAGTTGCCCAGGGATCTAGACCAGGGCTTTCCCATTCTACAGGTGGCCGGTCCGGAAACTTCATGATGCTGCCTAACGAGGCAAAAGGGTGGAGGGAGATAGATAAATGAGGATTTATTTATTTTGTTTTTTTGAGACAGAGCCTCACTGTATAGTCCAGGCTGGCCTTACACTCACCATCCAGCCCAGGCTGTTTTAGAACTCTCAGCCATCCTCCTGCCTCAGCCTCCCAAGTGCTGGGAGTACAGGTGTGTGACACCATGCCCAGAAGACTCTCAACCCAGCATTCTATTATAGAGCAAAGATGATAAATTCTGCAGAATTTCCGTGCTCTGATGTTAGAATATCATTTGCTACTTTATTGTGACTTTTAATTTCACAGCTAGCAAGCAGGATTTTGTGTATTTCCCCTCCTCAAAACAGGAGAGAACATTTTGAAGTCCAAGTGTTATTTATGTGTCTTACGTTTCTGTAAGTTCATTTTAGCTGAATTATTTTTAAACCACTGGAGTATTTGTGCCTCTTAGATTAGATGTGTTTGTGTGAAGAATTAGAATTACTACTTTAAAATAATCTCAAATTGCAATCATCAGGCCAACTTTTTATTTTACTCTAACAAAGTTTGACCTAGGCATGGAATATAACCCCACTGCTCCCTCTGCCTGTGCTGATGGTGTCAGACTTCTGTCAATGCTTTCAGGATAATACAGTGGCATCCTTCTCTTGAGTTCTCTCACCTTTTTTTAACTTCAGCGATATTTCTCAGGGTCTTAGACCTAAAATAAATTGCTATAAAAGTTTTACTACTTTTAACTTCTTCCTAATGCCTTTGTAACTATTAATTCTTACACGTTGGTATTCATAATATTAAATCAATGGTTAATAGCTATTGCAAGGCTCAGTATTCCCACAAGGAAGATTTTACTATTGAGAAATAACTAAGAAAAGTAAATGTGTGTTGCTTTGACGTGGACTTCCTGCCGTTTTCCTGGCCAGAGCCCTCCCCTGATGACCACCGTCTCACTCTGGAGGAGGAATACTGGAAATAAGCAAACAGCTGAGTTTCTGCCAAGGAGATACTCATTTACTTGCAGTTCCTTTTTCTCGGTTTCCCCTTATTGTGGGTTGATTTTGAGAGGCAGTGTTTTATGGCTGAGAAGGCAGCTAGGCTAGCTTCAGAGAAACTTTTCTCTGTAACTCATTTCTCCAGTCTGACTGGTTTTTCAGGAAGGAGTTGAAGAGAAGTAGAGTTTTCTGTTCTGAAGTGGCAATTGGTGGCAGAGAACTTGGTCCCCCCTGAAGCTGCTTCAGGGAAAGGAGCCCATGGTAAAGTAAGGTGTCCCCGAGGCAATGAGGAAATGACTTCAAAGCTGCTTCCTGCAGCCTATGCCTTAGCCATAGATCGGGCTAAGCTGTTTTCCCAGTGTTGGCTTTTTGTTTTCTTACTGCCAACTGACTTTCTCTGTGCCTGCCAAGTTTCTGCTTTGTCTGTGGAGTCCCAGCCCTACCTCATGGCATCCTTCCACCTTCAGGTGTGGTCCAACAGAAAAGACTTTTCCTAGTTCATATTCCTAAGGAGACATTGATTTGTGGCCAGTTTCTCTCCACTGAGCCCTGCGAATTGATGGCCTTTGGTCCACAGTAGGCACCAGACTTATGAACTATGCCCACGTAGCAGTCAGGACAAGGTCCACGTGATAATAAGTACCTTCCCAACAGAGGTGGCCTCAGGCCGAGAGCAGCCACTGCCTATACAATGGATGACAGCTGCTTTTCTCCATTAGCCTTCATAAACTTGCATTCCAGTAGGAAAGTGAATTTATCGTATAGTTGAAGTAGTAGGCTGTTTTAGTACACTTTTTTTCTCTTCTGTATCAACTTTGTGTGTGTGTGAGGTTTGTTTGTTGGTTGCTTTGTTTGTTTGGAGACAGAGTCTCACTGTGTAACTGAGGCTGGGGTTGAACTTGGCATCCTCTTATGTTTTCCACGGTGCTGGGGTTACAGGCCTGTGCCAGGGAGCCTGGCTTGTATCTTTCTTAAGAAAGATAAGTTGCTAAGTAGGAAAGAACTCTGGTTTTGTTACAAAGCAGAACATTCTTAGACTTCGAAGAGCTTCAATGCTAGATAGCGTCAGCCCTTGTACATGCGTTCCTTACAAGGTGAAGTACAGGGATCTGCATACTGTGCACTGTGTATTGGGTATGTGTTCAAGCCGAACCGCATAGACAGCATAGAGGGTGTTGTTGGGAACGTCACCAAAGCAGGGGGAAAATCCAAGTGGAGAGATTATGGGCTTTAAACAGAAAATGTGTACAGGTCTAGATAGATTTTTGCCTGTGTTATTTAGAGCTAGTGATTTGCTTGCCACATTGCCAGACTTAATAAGAACTGTATTTAAAAATTTTTTCTTTTCTTGTAAAGGCCAAGCTGAAAACTGATTGTCACAGATTTTCCAGACATACGTTTTGGCTTACATAGGGTTAAAGCAAATCTGCACCACCACTGAATCAGAGAGAGATGCCTACCTAGGTATCCAGACTCTTGATTTGCCATGATCAGTGACAGCCCTGGAGTCTCAGGCCTGGTGGGGCTTTGTGCCCAGTGGTCTTCAGGGGAATGCCCCTCGTAGCAGCGCCTGTGTCCTTTGCTGTCCACCCAGCCTGCTGTAAAGCATGATGTGTTCATGTGGTACAAGATGAGAGAGCTGTGGGCACCTACAGGTGTATCCATGCAATTTCTGTACGTACACTCTGACCCTCTGCGACAAACCTTTGTCAGTGCTTTAGCTTACAACTATAGTGAGTCTCTGGTGTGCACATGTACACGTGAGTGTTTCTTGCACTCCTGCCCTTTCTTTTTCTCACTCTCTTCAGTTTTTTGAGAATTCTCACGAAGTTGCCCGGGCTGGATTCGAAGTTCCTCATCCTCTCGCCTCGGCCTCCTGAATGCTGAGATTACAAGCATCTGCCATCGTGCTCAGCTGTGCATACCTCTTTTTAAAGCAGCTTTATTAAAGTAATGATACAGAAGAAACTGTACGTAAATTCACAGTCTTACAACTTTTGATACTTATAATTAGCCATCACCTCATCGTAATCAAAATAATGCACCTCCTCCAGTTTTCCTCATACCCCTTTGTAATCTTTCCCTCTCTCCTCTTGCACTGTGCCCGCACTCTAGGCAAACACTGATCTGTTTTCTATTATAGAGTAGCTTCCATTTTCTAGAATTTTATTTGCGTGTGTTTTAGAATTTGTGATTATACAGTTTTACAGTTTCCACTTTTTTACTTCGCATAACTTTGAAGAGTAGGGAGGTGCCAGTTTTTCTTATGTTGTCATTTGCATTTCTTCAGTGAATCTTCCCCATTATTCTACTGGTGATTTAGTCTTTTAGTTGATTTATATGAGCTTTTCATTTGTTAACATGTTTTTTACAGTATGTTCTGTTTGTATGATTGTCCTTTTAATTTAATTTTAGATATTCATAAGTTTTATTACTTTGTTTTGTTTTGGTTTTTGGTTTTTTTTGAGACAAGGTCTCCCTGTGTTGCCCAGGCTGGCCTTGAACTTGTGGCAGTCCTCCTGCGTCATCCTCCCAAGTGCTGGGATCACAGGTATGCACCACCATGCCCTGCTACTGGGGATTGAATCTAGGTCCTTTGCACTGAGCTACATCCATGGCCATTTTTTGCGGGGGGGCGGGGGGCTACCGGGGATCGAACTCAGATGCTTGCGCAGCAGGAGGCAAAACCACTGAGCTAAATCCCCAGCCCCTTTATTTTTTATTTTTGAAACAAATTCTTGCTAAGTTGCTAAATTGTCAAAGCTAGCCTTGAACTCATGATTTCCTGCCTCATCCTGCCAAAGTGTAGGGATTATAGGCATTTGCTACCTTGCCTGGCTGTTGTTTTCAAATAGCCAAGTTTTGCAACATGTCCTTTCTTAGTCTGGATATATAAGTAAATTAGGAAGTATGATTGACTGTGTTCTGGTTTTGATTGCCTTTCTAAGAAATTGAAAGTTTGTGTGTGGTGGAGTTTTGGGGAAGAACAGTAACTGGATGTGAGTATTTGATAGCATGCATTTTCTCCCGAGTTGTTACCTGTTAGTTAACCAGCGTTGGTGATAACTTGTTGAGCATTTACCATTTTTATTGCCTAGTTAGGAGGGTTGAAGAAATGAGTAGCTTTGGGTGGCTATTTCTGGGTATCATGCACCTCTCTTGCTATGTGATAGAGAGTTAATGTTTGAAATTGTTTTCTGTTTTCTTTTAGGTCTGTTTGCTTTGAGGAGGAGCTTCAGACTGTCCCACAGCAAAAGGGATGGGATCAGAGAACAGTGCTTTGAAGAGCTATACATTGAAAGAACCACCATTTACTTTACCCGCTGGACTTGCTGTTTATCCTGCTGTACTGCAAGATGGCAAATTTGCTTCAGTTTTTGTGTATAAGAGAGAAAATGAAGACAAGGTTAATAAAGCTGCCAAGGTACCATGCTAGGTGATGACTTAATAGTACTTTTTACTCTCTTGTTTCTTATTTTGAAAAGGAAATTAATAAAGATCAAAGGAGATGAGACCCTAAGGAACAGTATTTTATCATTCATGTCCTGTCAGAGCTTACTTGTCCTTACTTTATGGGCTTGCTGTATCTTCACCAAATGCCATAGGGACCTAAAAGCTTCGGGAAGGAAGCTCATTGCAATGGTTTTCATCTTCATAGTTCATTTTTCCAGTAAGAATGTTAGGGAGTTGATTTTACATGGTTAATTTAAGAGAGGGAGTTAATCTAGTCTAACAAAAAGTGCTGTATTGACATTTTAATTCTTGTGTCAGTGGTGGGCCTAGCAGTAAAATATGTTAGGAGCTTTATTTTATTTTTGGTTTTGTCTTGAGACATTATGATGCTCCAGAAAGGATTTTGAACTAGTAGGAGCCAGGGATTTAGCTCAGTGGTGCCTCTCCTGCCTGGCAAGTGCAAGGCCCTGAGTTCAATCCCTGGTACCAGAAAAAAAAAAAAAAAAAGGATTTTGAACTAGTGTGTCAGAATGAATGTCCCAGAAAGAATATTTGACTTATGTGTGGTTATTGATGAGGAATCTTCGGTCATTAATTTCTGGAGGTTTGTGTTTCCCCCTAAGGGAAAAGGTCCTGCCAGCTCACACCTGGTCACTTGCTTCCGGCTAAGGTACCCAGAACATTAGCATGTTGTCTGACACTGTCAGTTGACCCCAGCCTCTTAGCAGGAAAAGTAGTTCTAGGGCTGGAGCTGGAGCTCAGTGTAGAGCACTTGCCTAACACATCCAAGGGTCTAGTTTCAACAGCATCACCAAAAAAAAAAAAAAAAAAAAGAGAAAAAACATGATTCAACTGTGGAATATAATTCAGTAAGACAGTGCCAAATGTCTTTTAGGGTTGGTGAAAATGAGGGCATTGCTGTTTTCTTGGATGGCTAGCCCTTTGATCTTTCAGCCATTCAGATCATCAGAAAGTTTCTAGAAAGGAAAACAGTTGTATTCATTAATTCTTCACTGTTTACTATGGCAGGAACACATTTTTATGTTGAATATGATAACTTTATTTTGTTAGAGTTATGATCTATGTTATCATGAGTTCTTTTTAAATATCAACAGATATGGAAATTGATATTTCATAGTACTCTTTGAATGGTTCCTATTTTTTAAAAAGACTGCAAAAGTTTATATTAGCGGTGTTTTTTTGACATTTCATTGGTTACACTAGTTAATTATTTGATGTTACATCTTTGATAAAACATGAAATTAACAGTTACAAGATGGTTCCTAAGGAAAAAGTCTCATAACACTTCTCAGGATGCATTTTCTCTTACTAATTTTTTGCAATGCTGGGGATTGAACCAGTCGCACATGACAGGCAAGCACTCTGCCACTGAGCTACACCCACAGCCCAGGGTGCATTTTCTTTTAATATATTGTAAAAGATGTGGCTGGCTATTTTGCTGAGTAATTTTGCTTTTTTGGTAAAGCCACATTTCTGTCATTTTTCCACCCCATTTAGATTTTGATAAATTTTTATTGTAATTTTCCAAAAGACACAATGCCTTACTTCACTCTTACATGCAGTTAATGTCTAACATATTTTCTGTTATTTCCATCTAATAAGATTGTGTATGTTGTTTTTTAATAACTTAGAATGACTGTAACCAAGTAATGGAAGTTTATAATCTTTCTTAGTTTTTCTTAAGATTTCAGGATTTTAAAAAATTGTTTGACTTGTACCCTGACAGATAACCCAGATCATAAAATTTTTAAAGGAAGACAGAGATACATTCTTGGTGTGTGTGTGTGTGTGTCTTTGCTGGAGGAATCAGAGCTTGAGAGAGACTTTTTTCCTCGTTTGTGTCCAGATGCCTTCTTCAGCTATGACTGAGTCTTTGCATGTAGCTCATACTTGTCTCTTCCTTTAGCCATCGTGTGGCTTTGAAACCCTCAGACCTGAATCAGGGAAATTTGAAATGGAAGCAAGGCCATAAAGAATTTACATTATCAGAATGTTCCTAATAATCTCAAAAATTAAGTCACAGGACTTGAAAAAATGTATAGCATTCAGTACCCTTAGGTTTTAAGAATGTCATGTCCCAGATATCTGGAATAATGAAGCAAAGTGGTTAGCCTACCTCACCATCTCTAGTTTGGGTTCCTGATTCTACTTTTGATAGTTTTACTATTTCAACAGATAGTGTTGTCCTTGGCAAATATTGGGTATACTCTTTCTCTACTCCTATAAATAAGAAATAGTACACTGGCCTCTGGAATAAGGTGAAATGCAGATATAAGCTCTGTTTATAAAACAGTATAAAAATACTTAGGTTCATTTGGCCTCATTTTATCTTTAATTCATCAACTGTAATTAGTAGTATAATTTGTCTAGTGGTGATTTGAACTCATTTCTAACCCGTAGCCTGAAATGGATGATATATTCTAAGTCAGAATTTGGTGACTACAGTTTGCTGTAATCCAAGTGCTTAGTTAAGCCCTCATGGTAATTACAAGCTTATAAAAGTGATTCCTAAGCGTCTTTATGCCAGGAATCACATCAGACTGTAGGCCTAGGTCTATAGCTATCATACGTGTACTTCACTTGATGTCTGGGGAGACATTGTGCTCGTCTCATAGTGTAGCTAGGGTTCTTTGTGGAAGGGTCGTTGGAAATGTTGGACAGCTCACATTGTGTGGGCCTGACAAATGGAAGGAGCAATTGCAGTTTTCAAACGTGCTTGTATAGGAGTTGAGACCTGTTGTTCCACCCTTTCTCATATTCACATTTTCTTCCCTTTGCTCTTCGTGATTTCTTAGACTCTTTGCAACCCTCATCCCATTGTAAATCAACTTGTTAACTTCTTTTAGAAATTACTTCTTTCCCTTCATAATCAGATCCTGGTGCCCTCACAAGACTCCTGATTATTGTCCACCCAGAACTTCCAAAATATTCCCCATCCCTCATGCACCAGCTGGACCCGGTTGTCTCCTGTCTCCCCACCACACTGTTCAGACTTCTCTTTTCCTATAATGTTCACAGTCGCCCAGCCTTCTAACCAAACTATCTGCCAGAATCTCTCTTATCTGAACTTCACATCTGCACTTCCACCTGCCTGTTGGGTATCTGCACCGGAATTATCCACCAGTGTTCAAATGCAAGCTTTCCAAAGTGAAATTTTTTATCTCTTTCTGCATTTTATATTTTCTAGGGTCTGTTTTGGTTTGGTTTGGTTTGGTTTTTCTTCCAGTACTGAGGATCAGACCCAAGGACTTTTCACTGAGCTACGTCCTCAGCCCTTCTGTGTTTTGAGACAGGGTCTCACTGAGTTGCTGAATTGCTCAGGAGAGTCTTAACTTGATGTCTCCTGCCCAGCCTCACAGAGTGCTGGGATTACAGGTCACCACACCTGGCTTTAACCCTACGTTTTGATCCAACTTTTCGAACAAGGTATTTAAAACCAGAATATATCTTTGTCCCAGATTTATATCGTGAAGGAATAATGCATTTTTCATTAAAAATTGCTCTATAGAATAGACATCTTGGTTATTTTGTTATGTTTATTCAACAGTGTGAACCTGTAGCCTAAGAGCTTGTAGGTAGATTTAAGGTACAGATAAGAACACCACATCAATTAACTTTATATACCTCTCAGAAGGAAATAAGTTAAGAGGCAGAATAGCAATGAAAGGTTAAGGCTGTCAGGCTTGAATTAAATTTTTAGGTGGCTGAGTCATAACTGATTCCTGAAAACTAAGAATTGCTTATATTTAGGGCTAGAGTTACACTCTTAAGATCTCTGCATAGTTACATATGGGCACAAGTGAGTACAAATAGTGCTAATATTGTACATGTATTATTCATGTTTAATAAAGGTCCTTATTCAAAACTCTATTGCAGGGTCCATTGCCTAGTGCAGTGAGTAAAGTATAGTAGAAATTCAGTAACTGGGCCGGGGATTTAGCTCAGTGGCACCACATCTCCCTCGAAAGTGCAAGGTTGTGAGTTCAATCCCCGGTGCCAAAAAATTTTTTAAAAATAATCCATCAGTAACTTTGGGGCGCATACTTTCAGCTTGGGCACACCAGAACAAGAGCCATTTGTTTGTTCATCTGATGTTCATTGAGAAGATATTCTGTAGTTAACTGCCCTACCAAGCACATCTTGTTGCTCCCCTTGTTCTTTGCAGCAGCAGAAGTTTGAATCAAGAAATCTTTCCACTTGATTCTTAACTCCTACTCTTTCCTGTGAATCTACATGCATGTTACCCTGCTCCTCCTCTGAGGCCTGCCTTTATTGCAGAATTGTAAGAAGGAGAAAAATTCATTCCCCAGATCAGGAAACTCATCCCGGTGCTTGTCACTTCTTTAAATTTTGACTCCCCTCCATAATCTTCATGCTTATCAGTTTACTTCTCAGAGTTCTCTGGTGTTGTTACTGTTACTTTGTTCAGAATTCATAGCAGCCATCATTAGGATATCGGGGCTCTTTGGGGACTTCATGTCACAGGAGAATTAGAAGTCTTTGTAGAATTATTAGACGTTGGCAAGTAGAGTAAAATGAGAACAAGCTGTAGACCTTCCTTTCCCTTTTTGGAAATTTGGGGGAAGGCAGGAAGCTTGAAAGGACTTTGAATGCAAGTGTACAGTTTGTGACTTGACCACAATATATGTGAAATGATAATTCATCAGCTCTTCTGTTTACATTTAAAGCACTTGAAGACCCTTCGTCACCCTTGCTTGCTAAGATTTTTATCTTGTACTGTGGAAGCAGATGGCATTCACCTTGTCACTGAGCGAGTGCAGCCTCTGGAAGTGGCCTTGGAAACGTTGTCTGCCGCAGAGGTCTGTGCTGGCATTTATGACATACTGCTGGCTCTGGTCTTCCTTCACGACAGGGTGAGTGACCTGTGTGGTTGCCGGGGCTTGATGTAGACCAGGGCTGACAGGTGTGTCAGTGCTTGCAAGGATGGTATGGAAGGAAGGGACAAGAAATGTGACAGATGGTTTGTGGAAGGGGCAGCTATTTCTTTGTTCCAGTCTTATTTCGCTTTTCTGTCTGCCTCTGCGGTTGGATAAGTCTTTAACTTACAATGGTTGCAGCTATATTTGTTAAAACACAGCTTTAATATTAGTGTTACTTAATGTGGATCACATTTTCCATTTTCCAAATGCTTGTCTTATTTGAGATTTTTGAAGAAAGAAATGCCTATGTCTTAGGAAGAAGCAGAGTTTCTGCTCCTCCTTTCGTACTGGGTGGTGGAGCCCATTGTGAGCCTGCCCCTGAGCACTCCCCAGGAGTCAGTATGCTTTGCTCTGGGCTATGTTTGCTATTATACGTTTGGTTTTTTTTTACTAAAGAGAAATGTTTTTAATATCATCTTTAACATTTAAAAAAACCAATTCAATAAAGATCTTTCCATTGTTCTTTATACAGATTTAAATGCTGTCAAGTTATATATCAGTATATTTATAATCAATAACCTTCTAATCAGTGAAAGAAATTACAGTATTTACTGAGCTAAACTCACAAAATAAGGCACAACTACATGATCACAAATAGTAAATACAATATAAATAATGAACCCAAAAACTAAATGAAAAAGTATTCATGCAAAAGTATGTGCAGAAGCTATAACCGCATGATCCAGCTCCAGGAAGTAAGAATGCCACACCCAGGGCTGTGTCATGTTACAGTAAGCCAGTACTTCTGCACAGAAAGAACCTAGTGATTTCCAATTCCATTTCATACAATTTCACATTAACTTAGTAAGTCTGCGCACAATATTCACATCTGCAACAATAACAAATTGAGCATTAAAATTCAGGCAAAGGGCAATTAAGACATGGTAATATGTGGCACATCATAATTATGGAATATGATTCATCAAGCTCACATCTACAGATAGTAAGTGGATGGTGCATTGAAATATTATGGAGCAGATCACAGTTTTATAGCCAAAGTACATTAAAAAAAACTGGTGAAACAGGTCATGAATATCAAAATATATGATCATAATTTCCTCCCTTTATTAAAAGCTAAATATTTTTACACAAATTGTTTGCTGTTATTATAATGTGTCGGTTCAGTGTTTACTGTCTGTTTCTTGACAGTACTGTTACGCTGCTGTTTCTTAATGGTGTTGTTTCCAAGTTCACGTAACAAGAATTATTACTGCTTCCCTGGGGCTCTTCTTCATTGGAAGTGTGTGCACATGGTCAGGTGTTTGAGCAGTGTGCCAGTGCACAGAGGGAAAAATCATTCCCTTTTGATCAGATCCACCCTTGGATCTAGCTCTTCTCTCCAGAGGCAACTGTGCTGGTCAGTGTGTCATCCAAAGATCTATATGCTTATTCTTTTATTTTTCCTCAAGTGGAAACATACCCTATATAACCTAAACCACATACACGTGTATGTATGTATATTTGCAAATATATAGATACATCAGAGTTTAAAATGTACACATTTGATCTTGAGTAGAATATTTAAAATGTTCTTTCATGTACTGGAATGGTTTTTGGTTGGAAAACGATTAAATGTTCAAGCCCTTGTTCCTATTTTCTCCTTTTCTCTTATTTGACTATATTATTTTTTCATAGTTTTAAAATTGACTCTTCTGTGATCTGTGGAATATTTCTGGTGGTCCTTATCATTCCATTTTCCTCTTCAGGCAGAATTTTTTTAATGCCTACAGACAAGATTTCAGGTAAAGTGGATCTGGGTTCATGATAGAATGTAGGTGAGAAAGAATTTAGAGCAGAAAATGAATAAAAGAACCTATGGCACCAAAGATAAATTTTATCTTTAAAGGCATTGGAAGCAAATATTACAGGCTATTATTATACAGGGTGAAGATGTAAATTTATATTTAAGGGCACATTTTTCTCCTGATTCCCATGGAAAAGCAAAGTGATTAGATTGTAAATGGCCTTAGTGTCCTTATTAACCTGCCCCACCAGGCTGCAGAGATAACAGAAGCCTTTCTATTGCATTTTTCCTGTTTTCTAACTTCAGTTGACCTTAAAGCTTTGTTCCATTTATTATGCCAAAAGTGGGAATGCTTGCCATAATAGTTTTTGGAGATTGGTAGTTTTTTAAAACTTCAGCTTCAAAAATTGGAGTGGCAGTCTTCTTTTCTTTTTCCAGGGACACCTAACACACAACAATGTCTGCTTATCATCTGTGTTTGTGAGTGAAGATGGGCACTGGAAACTGGGAGGAATGGAGACTGTTTGTAAAGTGTCTCAGGCCACACCAGAGGTAAGCCAGGTGCCAGGTCCCTTCCTCACTGAGGATTGATAGCATCTGGATAAATAGCTCTTACCTAGACCCTTGTCTTTATTGTTAGAGTGACCTTATATTTGGAGACTTAATCTTTTTGTCAGTGCCCATGTTTATCAACTAAGATTGTGTTTCTCAAAGAGACACTAGGGCTCCTATATTCCTTTCTTATTTTGCATCGGGTTTTTTTTTTTTTTTGGTATTGGGGATCAAACTCGGGACCTTGTGCTTCCAAAGGAGGCGGCGAAACCACTGAGCTAAATCGCCGGCCCCTCTTTTGTATTTTGTAGATGAAGGGCCTTAGACTGAGTGAGAGAGGTAAAATGGTTTGTTGAAACATTTTAATCAAATGCCCCACCTCTCTGCTCCCTATAGTACCCCATACTTAGATTAGACCATTTAATGCTTCATATTTAAATTATCTTTATGCGTCTTTTATCTCACATAGTTGAATTTCTTCAGGGTGTGATAGTCTCTGATACTTTAGCTCCACATGGAATAGTGCCTGGCTTACGTTAGGTATTTAAGAAATGTTCATCAAACAATTGTGCAAGTTGCCAAAGTCATATGTTATGTCCTAGTCACTGGAATTAGGATCTGTGCATATTAAGTCCTCCTAGTATGCTGTGGTATAGCTGCTACCTGTGGTGCTTTTTGTATTTTATTGCATAGATCTCTACATTTTTCTCCTATACTGATGAGCCTTTTTTGTTTTGTTTCTTGTCACCTTTGTATGTTGCTCCTGGACTTACTGTTTCTAGGAAAAGACAGCATTAAAAACTCCATCCTAACATCCTTGTGAAAGTTGTGGCTCACAGTTTGACTTAGTGTTCTCACAGGGAGCCTCCACACTTGGCTCTGGCCTGGTCAGATGGCATTTTCATGGGCTCTTCCTCCTTTCAAATGCTGCTGCTGTCACAGACACACTTCTTTATTACTGCTGCTTCATTGAACACTCTGCACTCACCTTGTTATGTCTAGTTAGTATAATCTCATGTAGTCCTTTCTGTGGGCTGTATGCCAAGGAAACATGCTCTGTATGGTACATAAAACCTTTCCCAGTTTTTTCTTCAGTCCATCTTCTGCTCCATCCACCATACACAGTTCTTGAGCTGGACTCCAGCTCCTTCCTTCATACAGTTCAGGTGTGCAGTTCTCCTTTTGCTCCTCTTCCTTTGTATGCCATTCCATTGCTGGAGTGCTTTTCTTCCCCTGGAAAATGTAAACTCATCCAAGCTCTAAGTGCAGTCTCTGCTCTGTGAATCCTTCTGTCACCTAGCAAAATTAATCGTTACATGACACTCGGCACATTTGAGCACACGGTTGGGGGAGCAGGGAATCCATTGCTTTTTTTTCTAGTGCCCTAAAGAGTGTTTTGAGCATAGAAGCTCTTCAAACATGATCTTTGCACAGTGGTGAATGAATTTGCTTACTCTGTAGATGTTGATTTTTGTCTTAATAGCTCATAAAGTTCTCAACTTTTATGTCTCGTGGCAGCAAGGCAAGATTCACTTGATTTAGTGAGATTAACGATAGACTTGTTCTGTGCTGTGTTAGTTACTTTGTCATTGCTGAGATAAAATACCTGACACCCAAAATTAAAGGAGAAAAGGTTTATTTAGCTCATAGTTTGTAGAGATTTCGGTCCATAGTTGGCTGCCTCCAAAGCAGGGTTGCATGGCAGAGGGGCGTCACAGAGGAGAAACAGTCCATGGCAGCCAGAAGACAGCAAAGCAGCGAAGTGCCAAGTAACAAGCAGCGACAATAGCAGTCCTCTTTCTGTCCCTTATATGTCTATCCAGGGGTAGGAACACTCACACCCAGCGTAGGACATTCTTAATCCTAGGATCAAACCATGAATCAATCCCAGCATCACACCCTTAATCCCAGCGTCACATGCTCTAGATCCAGCAACCTCTGAAAAGTGCCACCTATGACCACATGAGACTTTGGGGGGGATATCTAGACGCAAGTCATAATGTGTGCCAAAAATTCCTTTTGGATATGGAGTTCTGCTATGTTGCCCAGGCAAGTTTTTGAACTCATAGGCTCCAGTGATCCTTCTACCTCAATGTCCCAAATAGCTGGGACTTTCAGCATGTACCACCACACCCATTCAAAGAGCCTTTTAATTGTCAATATCTATCAAGAAGAGAAAGAAGTATGCCTAATTTCTATATAAGAAAATAGGTGCACAGGTTTCTCTAAAAGCAGAGAATGTCTGTTAAAGCAGTTAAAAGGGAGAAAAGAGGAAACTAGCATTTATTTTCTACTAAGCCTTGTGCTGTACCAGCTTCTATATTTACATTTTTAATTAAAAATTTATGTAAAGTGTGGTATTGATTTCAGGATTGCATTGCTGCTGTTTCCATTGCTTACTGATTTTGTAGCTTAGTATAAAAGATTGGCTCACCAAATGTGTATAAACTGTGTTTCTTAACGTATTTCTTTATCTAGTTTCTGAGGAATATTCAGTCAGTACGAGGCCCAGCATCTGTCCCTCCTGAAGAGATGGTAAGATGACATACTTTTGATGTAATGAAAGCCCCTTTGTATAGTTAGTGTGAACCTTACAAAACCTTTCCTCTGCCCATTCCTTTCTTTACTAAATTATAGAGATACTTCCTAAGTCTTTTGGCTTTGAAAACTTCTAAGGCTAATATTATTTCCACAGCCATGGGGTCTGCTTACATTTTTTGGTTATACAGATACCTATGGTATTCTATGGAGAAGGAGGCGCCCCGGTGGGAACATAGTATTATATCCTTTCTAGGCGAAGTCTTTGTGCTTTGCTGGAAGCCATGGTTGCTGGGGAAGCAGCATCCCTAGTGTGACCCCAGTCACCTATTTGCCTCCCTAGCTGTTAGGATTCCATAATGCATAGAAGAATGTTTTTAATATCATGGTGCTGGTAAATATTCTGTTTACCCATAAACTCAGGTGCAGACACCCCAGTAGGTTTGTTCTTACAGTCACTATAAATACACATTAGTCCCTAAGGATACATTACAAATTGTTTGGTTTATAAGAAATCCAAACCCAGTTATGACTGAGTTATCTACCAAAGGTTTGAAATCAGTCAGATACTATGTATATATCCTAGTGTTTTTCAAACTGATGATTCTTGAGTAAAAGAAAGTATCATTGGGCATCTTAGATAAGACTAAGTATTATTTTATGAAACTTTTGCTTTCATTGCCTATGTATTTAGACATATAAGTGTATGCTGGGTTTATACTAAATTTATACAAGGTAAATACAAAAATATTTTTGAAAGCCACAGGCATGTATTATAGTCTTTCTTTTTACTCATATTTGACATTTTAAAATCTTAGATAAATTCCATCCACTAACAGTTGCTTTTTATTTTTCCAGTCCGCTTTACTAATTGATGCATAATTGTACATATTTATGGGGTATAGTATGCAACAGTTTTAAAGCTTGTGAATGAGTGTGCGACCCTATGCAGGTAGCTAGGAATATAGTAAGTGTACACATAGGAGAAAGTGCTTCAGAGAAAGGCAGATCCTATAGTTCTAATAGAATTACTGCTTTTAGTCTCCAGAATTCACAGCTCTCCCAGAGTCTCATGGACACGCTCGGGATGCCTATTCGTTTGGGACATTGGTCGAAAGCTTGCTCACAATCTTAAACAAGCAGGGTGAGTTGGAGTTACACTTGTGCAGCCACAGTCTAAGTAAGAAATTCATCTGTGCCTGTTCTGTGTGGAATTCAAAGGACTGCACTCTTCAGTCATAGTAAGGAGCCTACTGTTTGCCCCATAACTCATTTAGGGGAGGTGTAAACAGCAGTAAGGAAGGAGGCTTTGGGTTCCATTAGTTTGGACTGAAGTCAGAAGCACTTCGAACTATGGCTGTCACTACCTTCTGTGTCATGTGCCCCCCCCCCCCGGCCCCTCTGCCCTTTGCTGGAGATTGAATCCAGGGCCTTCACACTGAGCTACATTCTCAATCTTCTGGTCCTTTTTAAACTTTTTAAATTTTGAGTCAGGGTCTCCATAAAGTTGCGGAGTTACCCAGGCTGGGCTTACACTTGTGGTCCTTCAGCCTCAGTGCTGGGATTACAGGTGTGCGCTACTACTCCCCGCTAGTTATCTTATTAACTGGTGATACTATTTGCCATCTGAAGACTCTGTTTCCTGTTGTTACAGAGTCTGAAGATCTGTAAACCTCTGGAGCCACTCAGGTTTAAAAATGCCATTAATTAAAAAATGCCATGAACGAGTAAAATGTAATACACGAAAATTTTTGTTAATTTCTAAATCAGGGTTTTTAAACTTTTTGACTTTTTTTTTTCTTAGTATAATTTACTCAATCCTTTTTCCTTTCACTGCCTCTTAAAGCCTAGGCTACTTAAAGACATTATGTTCTGCTCTTTTTTCTTTGTTTCCTGGGTCGGCCATGTCAACTCCTATGACTCTCTGGCCTTTTAATTCTCCACCTGTTAAGTTGCCTGAGCCTTGTGTCCCATGAGACCCCTGTGGCCTATCTTACCTTGCAGAAGCTTGGTGCAGTGCTGATATAAAGTCTTCTTCCAGGCTTACACAGACCTGTGAGGTTCAAAGCCCACAATGATTGTTATCTCTAAATCGGCCCAGCCTAAATATTTGAGAATTAAATCCTAAGGCCCTGAGGCATTCATTGTGTTTAATGGACTGATTACTGTGCCTTGCATCTAGAATGGTGGCAAATGCCTACCATCTTAGGAAGAATTGAAAATGTCACTGAATATCTCCCTGTGTTTTGTGATGAGGAGCCCTGGTTGAGAAAGGCCCTCTGCCTGCCACCTTAGCCTCCTTCTTTGGGCCTGCACTGCCTTCATAGAAGAAGAGGCATATAGTGGGGGTGGGGGTGGGGGGGACCCCTTTCTACACCTGCCAAGGGATTTAGCTTAAAGAAAGCAAGAAGCTGTTTCGCAACAGCCAGGGCTTTATGTGTTTGGGCTTTTACAGGTTGGTTTTTGCTCGACAGTCTCCAGCTATAGAGGTCCTGAAAGGAGGGAGAAGGCCTTGGAAACTAACTGTCGCTCTGGATTTCAGTTTCAGCGGACGTTCTCTCCAGCTTTCAGCAGATCTTGCACACAGCCCTGCTGAATCCCATCCCACACTGTCGGCCTGTGCTCCGCACCTTACTGTCCCATGACTTCTTCAGGTGAGGGCATCCGGTATGCACATTGGGTGCCTCCTGTGCACCTGTCTGGTACATCTTGTAATGCTGGGTAGGGGACCCAGAAGCACAGTCCTCATAGTTATTAGGACAGAAAAAAAGGGAGAAATTGGGTTGCCTTCTAGGTTCTGTCACAGAAAGGAAGTTGTAGACATTCTTGGTTGGATGAGGCCTTGGGTTTAGAAGATTCCTTAGGACTCCTGGTGAAGAAGCTACCTCCATCCAGGGGTTCACAGTTGTAAGTTAATTAAAAATGTTAATAAACATGGCCTCTCCTTTTGCCACCATAGCATTAGTAATATGAATTTGTTATCTTGAATTTTTCTTGTGGGAAGGGCAATGAGTTTATTTTTCTTCAGGCAGAAGATTTTCTTTGTTTATAAATATGTGATGATAGTGGAGTTCTACAGCGCCGTAAAGGAGGATATACTTCAATCATTTACAGGAAAATGGATATCCCTTGAGACCATAATATTGAGTGAAATAAATCAGACACACAAGCTTAAATATTGCATAACTTCTCTTATATGAGAAACCCAAAATATAAATAGCAAAATAAAGATAGGAGATAGGGAGACAGTTCTTTTTCAAAAGAGAAAGAGACCAAGAGAGACAGGGATGGGGGAGGGAGTGGTGGGGAAGGAGATGATAAAAGAATTGAGATGTGTTATGTACATGTATCATCTTTCCACAAGGAATGTAATCATGTACTGCAAACATGGACTAATAAATACAAATTGGAAAAAGATTAAAATTAGTTCGAGAACAAAGAATGCAAAACTGCCAACTCTGCCCCAAATGTCACTGTCAACTGGTCTAGGAGAAATAAAAGTCATTTCACCTTTTTCCTACATAGGTCCTCATGACATAGCTGAGGCATACTTCAGCAAGATTCACACTTAATATAGCTTTGCTAATAGCATCATGTAACCCTAAACAGACAGGGATCTGACTGTTAGTTCCCGGGAATCAAAAAAATAAAGTCTTAGATTTGCATAGTTTAAAAAAAAATGAAATATGTGATGGAAGAGTGAAGTTGGTTTAAAAGGGAAGGGTGCACTATAACTTAGTATCTTCCTGGGTTCAGAGATGCTTTTGAATTTGTTCTTTAATCATGTGTCCTCCATGATGGCAGAGCTTCCTCACAAGTTAGTTCCATATCCATGACATTTAATAGCCAGGCTGACCTTATGCAAGTTTTGGAACTAAGAATCTTTGTGTGTTTGCAGTTGGCAGCCTGGAAGAAACCAAAGCACTAGGAAGTCTCCTATCCCAGAAAGGAAAGTCATCTCTGGAATAGTACTTGGTGGGGTGTGTGGTATTATTAAATAAATACTATTGTGCTGCAACAGTGGTGGCAAAGCTACAGCATGTGTGTGACGGCAGGCTGTTATCAATAAAAGCTCTAAAAGGTTCATCACTGAACTATTGTTACTGGGGTTGTATTTGTTATTATGTTTTAAAGAAATGGTTTAAAACTTTTCCCATTGTGTGATTTTTGGTTCTTGAACTAATTTTTAAAAATTGAGAAATATACAGAAAATTGTATATTTTACCATTACAAGAATCTTTTAACCACAGTATCTCCAATGTCCTTTTAGATGAATCTTGGGAATATTTTACTTTCCTCCATATAAAGTCTCTGCAAAGAATAATCCTTCACAGTAAATGGACTTTGTCATCACTGTAATGAGTTCTTTATTATGAATTGTATGCTAAAGAGGGGAGAAAAAAGCTAAAAGGACCAGCCTGCCCCACAATCCTTGTTGTATGTGAGGAGAGACCTGGCCGGAGATGGAGGAAGGAGCCAGTGCCAGCATCCCTGCCCAGGAGCTGAGCCGGTCTGATTAAAGTTAGGACATTTGTGTGTTCCCTCTGCTACAGAGCCAGGGGAAAATACAGCATCCCCTTGAACTATGTGGGTTTGAACTGTATGGGTCAACTTACATGTGGTTTTAGTTTTTGTTTTGAAGATTTTTGATAATTTGAAAACTTGAACTTTGTAGTCTAGATGTGTTGTGAATACACACAGATTTATATAAAAAGTTGAAATTATCAAAACTTGTCCACAGACTATACATATATGGTTTTCACATGAGAAAAATGTAAAGCAATGTAAAAATGCATAAATCGTAAGTAGGACATGCTATACAGTAATTTCATAGCCACTTCCTGTTGCTACTGCAAGAAGGTAGAACATTATGTCTGCTGAAAACTCCATTTGGTGGCACAGGCCTGTAATCCCAGCACTTGGGAGCCTGAGGAGGATCTCCGTGAGGCCACCTAGGTCTACATAGTGAGTTCAAGGCCAGCCTGAACTACATAGAGAGACCCTGTCTCAAAACAAAACAAACCTCCACTTGAGGCAGATCATCTCCCTAGGAAATTGGCAATCACAGGAAACAGTGATCTTGAGGATTCTGTGTGATTCTCACTGAATATGATGTATGTAACATACAAAATATTTCTTAATTGGCTATATTATTAATAAGACTATTAGTGGTTAAGTTTTAGGAAGTTAGAAGTTGTAGGTAGATTTCACCTCCACAGGGATCGGTTTCCTAATCCCTGGTTCATTAGAGTGTCCGCCACAGGTGGAACGTGAGATGTGAAGATGTGATAGTATCTGTACTTACCGAGTCTACCGTGTCAGCTGCCCGCCTGTGTGTCTAAGCCTCCAGGGACGGTGGTCCTGTGTGGTAGGATGTGAGCTAGGGTTCTGGTTCCTTGGAGCTGAGTTGTCCATCACTTGTGGGACTCTGGGGGTCCCAGAGAAAAGTGACCTTCCCTGTTCCCAAGAATGACAATTTACAGCAGGAGAAATGAGATTTCTGTCACTTACACAGAAATTCTACTTTCTCTAATCCTCTTTAACAGTTATTATTCACCAGAGTAGACTTGGTAAATCAGTAACTATTTTTGTAGTGGTAATGCATTTCTCTCAGGATACTTTGACAACATTCTTTCACAACCAGAACTTTGGGGGGTGATGACTTAAAACCTCAAAGCATGTGTATCAGTTTGTATCCTCTTCACACATCTCTGATATTATGAGATTCCTATAGCCTTGTTCCATATTATTTGTCTCGTATGCTACTTAGAATCTTTTAAATGGAACTGGGTGCTGGTGCATACCTATAGTCCCAGGTCCTTAGGAGGCTGGGATGGGAGGATTGCAAGTTTAGCCCATCCCAGACAACTTAGCAAGACCCCCATCTCCAAATAAAAAATACGAATGGGCTGGGGATGTAGCTCAATGTAAAGACCCTGGGTTCAATCTGTGGTACTTCTTCCCACCCCACCCCCAAAACCTTTCAAGTAGCCTTCTCATCCCTACTGGGGCTTGAACACAGGACCTTCACACTGAGTGTATTCCCAGCCTTTTTTAAATTTTTTAGTTTGAGACAGGGTCTTGCTAAGCCACCCAGGCTGAGCCTGAACCTGTGACCCTCCTGCCTCAGCCTCCCAGAGTGCCAGGATTACAGGTGTGTGCCAACATGCCCAAAGGAGTGCTTATTTGTTGATAATTACAGTGGGGTTGTATGTGGTCATGGGTTCATCATTTAACATGCTTTCTTTAATTTGTTCTCCTATATATTTTTTCTTTTTATTATTTAGAAATGATTTTCTAGAAATTGTGAATTTCTTGAAAAGCTTAACACTGAAGAGTGAAGAGGAAAAAACGGAATTCTTCAAGTAAGTTCAGAAAGTTAAGGCCTAGAATTCAATAACTTGGATGAAATCTCTGTAATCACTTCAGGTAATCTCAAGAAGATGAGTCAGGCATTTGGTTGATTTCACGTTATTGAACATTTCCTACAGTTGGGCTGTTTGGAAGCCCTGGAATTGTCAGCTCTGGGAAGTGAGACATCCCCTCTGAGACTCATAAACAGAGGATAGGTAACAGGTGAACAGTGCTCAGAGGGGTTCTCAGAACACTGGTTTGGGAAATAGTGATCCTAGGAAAACTGGTCCAGGCAGAGGGGCAGCCAGAGTGAATGCAGAGGCCAGAACTGGGGTGACCTGCGCAGAGCAGCAAGTGGTCACCCTGGAAGTCCCAGGACAAGGACAGGGAGAGGTGCCCTTGGATGTGGCAATGAGGAGTGTTGACAGTGTTTGTATATAGTGGACTTCTGTGCCATCAAAGCAGCAGGCTCAGGGGGTTTGGTCGCCTTACAGAAGGACTTCTCTGCTGTCCCTGGAGGGGCAGCCTTAAGTCAGAAGCAACGTGGTGGCAAGACAGCTGATGGGAGGCCACAGGGCAATGACGGTGCCAGTGACAAAGACGACACTGAGATGGGAAAGATGCAGTGGGCCAGTCTGAGTGGTGATCACCGGGTGGCAGAACCCTGGCAGGGGTGACCTGACATAAGGGGACATGGTGGATTCACTGTCGAATGTGTTGGTTTAAGCACTGTGGGACTTTAGGTGTGGACATGGACAGAGAAGTCTCAGTGTCAAGCTAGTGGCCTCGTGGTAAACACTGAGGTTTCGTCAGCCTGTACTTGGTGGTATCTTCCAGAGAAAGTAACATGAGAAGGACAGTGGTCCAGACTATGGCTCTGGAGCACTTGACTGTGTGAGGGTGAAGTTGGATGAGAGGCAGTGGTCTGAGAAGACCTAGAGAGTCAGGAAGCTGGCAGCTACCAGGGGAGGGTTTCTGAGAGGCAGCAGGATCAGCAGAGGCCCATTCATGTGTCAGTGTGGCACTACTTCCTTGTCCTACCAGGAGTGGGTCTTTCCCAGTAGAGTAAGGCTGATCGGGTGAGAGGGTAGACACTGGGCAAAACCTCCTGGAAAATGGAGAGGAGAGAACATATTCCTAAAGAAGAAATGGAGTCAAGGAAGGCGTTTTTAAGGATGGGTGAGGTGTGAGCGTTTTTACAGACTGAGGGAAAGGTGCTCATGGGAGAGTGGCAGGAGTGGTAGGAACTGCAGTTGTGCTGTGGGGATGACTGGTGCTTGGTCCTAGAGGAAAGGGACAGTTGGGATGTGGCAAGGTGGGGTGTCCTTAAGGAAGAGGAAGCCCAGCGTCCTCGGCATTGGAAAGGTTTGGGAGTAAGTATGGATGTCAGCTTCTTTTTTTGATAGTGGTGTAGGGTTTTGAAGGTGATAATGTACAGTGTGGCCTGTTCCTCATAAAGTAAGAGTCAGGCTTAACTGCGGAGGCGGATGATATAGGTATTATATAGGTATAGGGTATTGTTACTGTTAATACCTCATATCTGTACTCAACAGAATGCTCTTTGATGTGTGATGTTTTGATGTAATGAGGTTGGGGAAAATCATATTTCCTAGCACATGCAAGGCCCAGGGTTCAATCCCCAACACCAAAAAACACCACCTTGCATTTTGTTTCACTATGGATACTTTAGAAAATTAATTATCCTACATCTTTTAAATGTGAGAAAAGGTCTTTTATCTGGAAAGCCTAGCTCTTTAGGGGATACAGGAGGACCCTTCTGCCACTGGTCAGAGGTAATTTGTGGGGAACACATTCTGGCTCAGTGCAGGGTGCCAATGAGCCAGCCTCCTCCCACTCTTTCTGCATTTTTCTTAGGTACCTCACTGTTCCTGGCTACGTTTCAAAATGCACTACTTTGGTAGAAGTTAGGTAGAGGCTCTACATGGCTAAGCTGTGTAAGAAAATTGATAGTGCTGTGATCTGTTTCCCAGGCTTTCCTTTTTGTCCTCAGATTTCTGCTGGACAGAGTCAGCTGCTTGTCAGAGGAATTAATAGCTTTGAGGTTGGTGCCGCTTCTGCTTAATCAGTTGGTGTTTGCAGAGCCAGTAGCTGTCAAGAGTTTTCTTCCTCATCTACTTGGCCCCAAAAAAGGTGAATTCTCTTTCAAAATATTGGTGATTAAAGAGTTTGGTGGTTATTAGCCCATTTTTGGCAATTTTTTTTTGGTACTGGGGATCGAACTCAGGTCCTTGCACTGGTGGGGCAGGCATTAAAACCACTGAGCTAAATCCCCGGCCCATACTTTTTTTTTTTTTTTTGGTACTGGGGATTGAACTCGGGACCCTGTGGTTGTGAGGCAAGCACGGTGCCCTGAGCTAACTCCCTGGCCCCTATTAGCCCATTTTTGAGTGGAGTAAGATTACTGTATGTTAGTTAAAGTTTGGCTGTAAAAGCAAAGAACAGTTATTTTCCCCTAATACATACCTTGCCCTCATACCTGGGTACAAGGGCCGGGGATTTAGCTTAGTGGTGCCGTGCCTGCCTGGCAAGCGCAAGGTCCTGAGTTTGATTCCCAATACCAAAAACAAAACAAAAACCTGGGTATAAAAGCTCATAGTATAAAAGCAAAGCATCTTCCCACAGTATCAGACTATCATCAGTACTTATCTGTACACACACACACATATCACATGTTGCTAGAATATGAAACACATGAAGTCTGAAGGCAAGGCAGACATCTTGAAAGAACTTTTGCATTTGCTGTGAATCACTTAGGCCTGTGCCCCTTGACTTCAAAGACCAACGCTTTTGTTTTTTTGTTTGTTTGGTTTTTTTTGGTACTGGGGATCGAACCCAGGACCTTGCGCTTATGAGGCAGGCGCCGGAACCACTGAGCTAAATCCCCGGCCCAAAGACCAACCCTTTTACTTTCCACTTTCAGCAAAAAGACTGAAAATCACTGAGTTCATTTCACATCTTAGAGCTTCAGAGCTTTTTCCAGATGTGAAAGGAAACTGTTACTTGGAAACTGTAACATTCATCATAGCAGTATAGATGGCAACACATCAAATTAGAGAATATAGCATTAATACTAGAATTTTGAGGTAGGTGAGATCCTTTTAGAATTAGTTTTCTTAAAAGATCTTAATACAAGAAGCCAGTGTTACTGGTAGTTATTTTACAGATTAGAATTTCATTATATCTGATTCAGTGTCATACTCTTCAGCCTTGATTTTTTTTTTTTTAATAGCTCTTCCGTCCTGTTGCTCAGTGGATCTCAGACAAAATGAACCTCTCATTCATCTCATTTTTTAAAAGAAGACTGACCCGAGGGCCAGGGATTTAGCTCACTGGTTTTGCCGCCTGCTGCGCAAGCGCAAAGACCGGAGTTCAATCCCCGGTACCAAAAAAAAAAGACTGACCTGTTTGCTTGCTTGATCTGTTGGTCTGGGACAGCCGTGCGTGCGTGCGTGCGTGCGTGCGTGCGTGCGTGCGTGCGTGTGTGTGTGTATTTTTTTTTTTTGGATACTAGGGATCGAACTTGGGCCCTTGCGCTTGCAAGGCAGGTAGTGGCACCACTGAGCTAAATTCCTGGCCCCAGGCACATAAATTTTTAAAAGCAACCCAATTTTGCAAATAAAACTTCAACAAGAATATTAATATGTCACTAATCTGATCTAGTAGAGAAATTCTTCACTTACTAATCATAAATTTATCAAGTTATTCATAATCCTATTAAAATATAAGCTTTCTTTGTCTTATGATCTGTAATACTTCCAAAACATTTCTACAGGCCAGGGATTTAACTCAGTGGTTCTGCCGCCTGCCTCACAAGCACAAGGTCCTGAGTTCGATCCCTGGAACCAAACAAAAACATTTCTACAATGAGTGTACTTAAGGCAATTAGGTCTTGAGTAATTTTGGCTCAACAGAATAACTTCCTTTGGCTGAGAGCATAAGAATTTAGAAGAGCACTTAGGATGTATATCAAGTTCTGGGCCTAGCTTAGGAATTATGTTCAGTACTCTTTTCACTGAAATTTTGTCATCTGTAACCCTCCCCAATTCTGGGGTAGACACTGAACAGGGAGAAACCCCTTGCTTGCTCTCGCCGGCCTTGTTCCAGTCTCGGGTGATCCCTGTGCTCCTCCAGTTGTTCAAGGTTCACGAGGAACATGTGCGGATGGTGCTGCTGTCTCATTTTGAGGCCTATGTGGAGCACTTTACTCAGGAGCAGCTGAAAAGAGTCATCTTGCCACAGGTGAGAGACCAGGGTGGCAGTGGCACACAGCCTTCCCAAGGCAGGTTGAGTGAGTGGGCACAGGGTGCTGCAAATTTGGGGGCTGAAAGGAAGAAGAGGGGTTTGAGATGTTTCGATAGTAGCTTAGAAAGCCCCAAGACAGCATTTTGAGTGTAAAAACCTATTGAAATACTAAGGGCTGAAGTTAAAATGCATTTCCATTCCATATTTTGGACAGATCGGTTAAACTAACATATATGGTCTTAATCTGGGAGAAACTATAATTGTTTGCTAATTCTTTATGGGAAAATAAGCATTTATGGAATGTTTTGTGAGTATGAACTGCAGCTGTCCATAAATAAGTTATTATAACATGATTAGAATTGTGAGGAACATGAGATTGCTTGTCGTCAGTGGTTGGTTCATCAGCCACCAAGGAACCGTATATTGCTCATCCAAGGGCTTCAGGTTTATATTAGTTTCTTAGGGCCACAGTAACAAAATCACAGCCTACATGTTCAAAACAACAGAAATTATCCTCTCAGTCCTGGAACCAAGTTGTTGGCAAAACCAGGCTTCCTGGTTTCTGGATTCTAGGGTAGAATTCCTCTTTGACTTTTCCAAGTTTCTGTAGCTTCTCTGACAGCTTCGCGTACTGGCCTGAGGCTGTGTCATTCTGATCTCTGGCCTTCTTCAAAGGAGACAAGTCACTGAATTTAGGGCCCACTCTAACCCACTTTAACCACCTCTACAGGTTACATTCAGGATGGACATGAATTTTGTAGGGACACTATTTAGTACAAGGATTTTTTTAAAGTAGCTTTTTTTTATTCTTTATCACTGGGCCATTACCCAGGCAAGGCAAGTGCTATACTCCTGGCTTCATGAATCTCCAACTAAGGGTTTTTTAAAGATAACAAATTCATTTCCCTATGAGATGAGTTTACACTCTCCTGTGTTCAAGGAACTGATAAGTGAGAAGGATGTTGTAGTCACCTGTTGGTGTGTCCCCAGAACATAGTGCCTTAAAACAGCAATCATTTTACTAGTTCGCCTGAGTCTTTGGATTGACTGGGCTTAGCGTGGGAGTTCTAATGCTCCAGATGGTGTTAGCTCAGGCTTCAGTCTTCTGGAGCATGACCAGAGCTAACACCTGAAATGCATCCTCAGCCCTGTGGAGTAGATAGCTGACTCAACTGGCACATTGTCTCCACAGACATTCAGAGATCTCAGGTCTGTTCTCTGATGTAAGATTTCTACATGACTTTGTTGGTAAGGTAGGAGGACTTCTTACATCATTGGTAAGGGCTGGCAAAAGTAGCCTTGTTAAGGTATAAGTAGGGAACTGGCAGTGTCATTTTTGCCAAGTTCTCTTGGTTACGTGTAACCATTGTGGAATGGGTTTGTACATGGGCAGTGTAGTTCACTGGGTCTGACTTTGTATGTAGCAGTCATTACCCTACATATGGTTGTGTCTACAGATTTAGAAGAGGAATGGCACATTCTCACTTTGAAATAGAGGTGTCATCATAGGTCACTGGATTGGACTGAGGTCAGAGAATGAGTAGATGTTCAGGAAGTAAAAGACAATGAAAGCTCTCATTATTTAGGATACTACTTTCCCTGTAGAGGAATAATTGGGCCAGTTTCTGTGTGGTGGGAAGTTTACTTTGGTAGCAGGGTGGAAGATCATAGAAAAGGGGTCAGCTAGGAAGCTGTTAAGACTAGTTCAACTAAAAATGTGGCACTGGATATGCAGTAGTAGGGCAGTAGTGGTGAACCTATGGCATGTGTGCCACAGTGGGCTGATTGTATCATTGAAAGCTCTAAAAGGTTCGTCATCACTGTAAGGGGTGGGGGGGGGTAGGATTGTTTCTGACGGGATGCAGAGGTGAAGATGATGGACTTGGGGCTTGAGTGGATTGTTTGATGATTACTATATTATGCCTTAATGTCCTTGTACAGCCTTGTTTTAGAAACGTGCCTGGTCTATTAGTGTTGGACTAGAAAGTATCTTAAGAGTCCTGTTGGAGACCTTTACTCTTAGATAAATGAGGAAACTCAACCAGAAAAATAGCATTTCTTGGTCAAATTCATCCCTAGAGTTCATAACAGGAATAGTAGAACCCAAGAATCTGGATACCATTAGGCAAGTCAGTTACCCAGGCCTTGTGTCTGACCAGTGCAGACCTTTGCATGTCATCGCCTTCCTTATATGCAGAACAGAACCTCTCCTGATATCTGCATGTAACTTAGTTAAGGTGCTCTTGGCCATGATTTGTATGTCTTGCTGCTGCTGCCCGGCAGCGTCTCACAGCCATGTGGTCTTCATTCCTTACCTTTTTCTTGGCATCTGCTTCACTTGTGACTCTCTGAAGACCAGTTGTCATTATTTTGCGTGCATGTCAGATGTTCCATAACTTAAAAGTTTACTGTCCTCACTTTAAGCAAACCAAAGAGATAACTAGTTTCTCTGGATTACAGTCTCCATGACTGGGCAAGAGCTCACAATTGGCTCAGTTGAGACCAGTGTTACATGCATGAGGTAGAAGGAAGGTTTTCAGATTCCGCTGCCTTGAATGTGTGGAGCTGAGAAGAGAGGCAAGGCCCAGGAGTGTAGCTGTTAGTCCCGTCTGAGTGAATTCTGCAGAATGTTGCCAGTGCACGAGCTGTTTGTGATGGTTCTGTGATGAGAGTAAGTATAGATACGGAGTTTATGCTTAAAATTGCTTTTGTAGGAATTTGTCGGAATAATTTTGTTTCCAATGTGTTTGATTTTGCTTTGATTGTATTTTTAAAAAATCAGCCCAGGATGGATGGAGGCAGGGGGTCTAAAGTACTACTGACCTAGGCACCGGGGTTTAGCTCAGTGGTTCCGCTGCCTGCCTTGCAAGCACAAGATCGTAAGTTCGATCCCTGACACTGAAAAAAAAAAACTACTGACCTAGAAATAGCTTAAGAAAATGTAGTTCTGATGCAGCCCAATTGTTTGTTTACAGGGGGAGAAAAAGATACCGTGGTTGTCTACACTCACTATATTATATTCGCCCTTAGGTGTTACTGGGCCTGCGTGACACCAGCAGTTCCATTGTGGCAGTTAGTCTTCATAGCCTTGCAGTGCTGGTCTCTCTCCTTGGACCAGAAGTGGTTGTGGGAGGACAAAGAACCAAGATCTTCAAACGTACTGCCCCAAGTTTCACTAAAATGACTGACCTTTCCCCAGAAGGTGAGGATGACTGAAAGGTGTAGCTTTTTTGTATGCTATGTTATTAGATATTTAAGTACTATACACATAATGCAGGTTTATATTCAGTTAAAACAGATGGAAAAAAATTAGTTTTCCAACTTGTACAAGATGAAGGTAACCTTTTATGAGTTTAGTGAAAATCCTTTGAGCCCACAAAAGGGGGCACAGATATATGTTCACAGATATTTATATAGGATTCTCCTGGAAAACAATGACAATACCATGCACAAATCTCCAACTTGTTTTCACTAGCAGCATATCAGGGACTTGTCTCTAGGTCAATGAATAGAAATCCAGGTAACTTTTTCAGAGCTATATAGTGTTTCATTGAATATAATTTTTTTCAGTGATATACTTCTTCATGGATATTACACCCATTTCTGTTTTTTTAGTTACTGTAAAGTGCTACAGTAAATATCCTTATACCTGTATCTTTAAGTATTTTGGGTTTCATTGCTATAAAATAGTCTCAGAAGTAGACTTGCTAGTTCAGAGCATATATTTTAAGTCTTAATAGACATTATCAATTTCCAAAAAAGGTTGTAGACATTCTTTCTAATGCTAGGTGTGGCCTTTTGGTGAAAAGCTATTGATTTTTAGGTACTTCAAGAAGTCCTTCTTTCCCGTATGTTCCCATTGGATGTTCCCAGGGATGTAGCAACTTTAATTTCTGGTGTTAGAAGAATTTTGTATCAACAATGTCATTTTTTGTATAACCTGAACAGGGCAGTGACCTAGTTATGAGTTCTAGCTTTCTACTCAATTCTGTATACAGTAGTCAGTAGTCTGTAGACAGCACGGAGACACTGAGTACTAGACAAGAGCTAGCACACAGGCTTTTCTCTAATTCTGGTGCCAGTCCAATCTTTGTAGCAATGCTGGCTTCCTGATGGTTTTTTTTTGTTTTTTGGTCTTTTTTTTTTCCTGATGTTTTGAAGAAAGTTCAGCTCTTCCTTAGTGCTAAGTAAACCAATGTCATTGTGGCCCAGGGAGCTTGGAAAGGGTGACTTGGTGTGGTGTCTGTTACCTATTCTTCTTTTAGTAGATTATAATAAGGGGGAGCAGTTTGTAGTTTTGAGATAAGACTTGAGGGATAGATCTGCAAGAGTTTTACATTCTGAATTAGCAAAAACTCCCACGCCTAACATCTGTCTAAGTGGGTGGAATTATCTTATTATAGACATATTCTATATCCTGAAGATTTATTCCTTCATGTTCACCTGGATTATAATGTGACCTTTATGAAGCAACTGGAAAGACACCAGAGCAGCAGTAGCAGATGGATTTTTCTTAAGACTTCATGACAGGTCAGAGGTCCAATCCCATTGTCTCTCCAAGTTGGGCTCTTCCTTGAGTAAGACAGGTGAGCCCAGGTAGCAGTCTGCATTCCAAGTGCAGACTTCAGTGCAGTTTTGTAATGTTGTGGGGGACTGTTGAGGAAGGGAATGTCTTTTGCAGTTTACTTTCATAGTCAGACTTAAAAATAAGGGCTAATGTTGAGGTTTTTGATAAGTCAGTGTGCCTGAAAGTTGTGAAACAGTTTATAGAGAAGGGGACACTGGCCAAGAGAAATGAGTAGCCTTTAGCCAGGAGGATAGTGGTAAAGCAAGAGATAAGGTCTATAAGGTCAGGCCTCTGGGCTGGAGGTGAAGAAGGGGAGGCTGCTCTTAAGAGCTAGCCTAGGGCCTCTTACCCCATTTCCTTCCCCCTTGCTTTAAGATAGAGGAAGAATGCGGCCAGAATTTTGCTAAAATCTTTTTGACCATTGCCCAGTCTTGAATATTAACTATTAAAGATAACATTTTCTTCAAACAATTTGCATTTAACCCCCCCCAACGGGTCTGGAGTTAAATATTTACAGCATAAAATGTATCATAACTTCTTTAAATGTATAGTTTTGTGGTATTAAAGTATATTCATATTGTTAGGTGTATACACTTATTAGGGTTTTATTCTTGAATGAGAATTACTTATGGTTTTAAATCACCACCAAAATATTTTTGAAGGCTGTCACTTCTTAATGAGGTATCATAATGCTTGAATCCCTCCTGTCCCACCATGGATATAACTGTTCTTAAATACAGAATGGTTAGGTATGTTTCTTCAAGTATTTAAAAATGTTCTCTCTTACCTGTGTTAAATAAGCCCATTTCCCTTAGCTGTTGCTCACCAGACATGTAGTAGGGTCACAAGCCATTTACCATCCCTTTCATTATTTGGAGTTTTTATTTACCTTCAGATTCTCCCAGGCACGTGGTCTGCAGCCAGCACAGTCAGATCTTGCCCGCCTTGGAGAGTCCCTCTGCTAGCACATTCCCAAAAGGTTTCTCCTCTGGCAACCTCCCCATCAACAGCAAGGAGCACATACAGCAAGATTACTACGGTACTTGTTTACACACAGAAATATTGAAATTATACATTTTTTTCCATTGTTTAGATGAGTGTTTTCCTGAAAGTAATAAGTTTAAATTCTGAAACTAAGGGCACTTTGGGAATTTTGACACATATCTTGTTACAATAAGCACTAGCTAGCTTTGCTCGATTCTCGCCTCCTCAGACCTTGGATATGTACACTTAACTTTTCCTTATAACTGATGAGAAGAGCATGTTAACAGTACTTGAATTCTTTTTTTTGCACCAGATACTTTACTTTGGAATTTCTGATGATTTAGTTCTGAAAGATGTTAACAGGCAGGTTGTGAAAAGTTTTTTGGTTAAATACATTTGGGAAAGTGGTAGGATAGTTAACACCTTGCACAGGATTTCTCAGCACCTTAACCTACACTTCAGGAAATCTGTTTAAAACAAGAATAAGTTGAGCAAATTTATTTGAGCATACATTTTTTTCACGGTGTATGTAATGAACATCTTTAGGGTAACATTGCCTGCCTTAGAGCATGTGTATATTTACTTACAGCTCTGCCAGTGAGCAGTAGGTGTGGGTATTTAATAATAGGACTGGATGAGCCAGTTAACTGGTATACATATGCTTCCACTGAGTTAATAGTGTATAAGCATTATAAAATAGTATTTGAATAACTTACATCTTTGATATTATATCCAGAAGAATCTCTCTTGTTAAGTAAACATGGCTATTCATCGCCTGCTGCGCAAGCACAAGGAACTGAGTTCAATCCCTGGTACCAAAAAAAAAAGTATGCATGGCTATTTCCAAGTAATAAGTCCACACACTTCTTTAGTGCTGTCCTTCCTCTAAATGTATTGTTTGTTCTTAACCAGCATTTTATGTGAATAATTCTTCTACCTATTATCACAGGTGATCAGTTTTCTCAGTCTATTAAATTTCGCATGAATGGAATCTCAGATATGAAAAATACTTCAGGGAACACTGAAAATCTTTCTTCAGTCTCTAAAAAGTCTGAGGAGTGGCCTGACTGGAGTGAGCCTGAGGAGCCGAAGAACCCAACTGTCAATATGCACGTTTGGCCTGGAGAACCCTGTGATACTGCTGAGTCCCAGTGCACTGACCTGATTACAGAACCAGTAGGTTGGGAAGACTGTGCGCCTAGGAGCTTAAGTACTCAGATAAGCCCAGGACCCCGTGTCTCTGCAGCCCTGCCTGGTACCTCTGGGGAGCAAAAGCCCACTGCTGCTTTGCCTTCATTCACTGAACCAGCTAAGCCTCTGAAATCAAGTCCACCCCCAAAGACCAGTCTTGTGCAAAGCACAGAAGACCCAGACCAGGCCAAGCCACCAAAAGGGTTGTCACAAGAAAGGCCTCTTAAAATTCAGTCAGAACTTGGTTTAGGAGAAGAGTTTACCATCCAGGTTAAAAAGAAGCCAGTACGAGATCCTGAGTTGGACTGGTTTGCTGATATGACTCCAGAAATTAAGCCTTCAGCCGCTTTTCTTATTTTACCTGAACTGAGAACAGAAATGGTGGTCCCTAGCAAGGATGATGATGTCTCACCAGTGATGCAGTTTTCCTCAAAATTTGCTGCAGCAGAAATAACTGAGGTGAGGACTTCTGGGGTATTCAACTGTGTTTTAAGTCTAAGGACTACCCTAATGGGTTCCAGTTTATAGTAAACATGTTTTCCCAAAGAAGGAAAAGACCACACAACAGGTTAAAATGATTAAGCCAAGCACAGAAATCAACAAACTTGGTTTCTAGAAATAGGATCCTTCTTTCCTCAGAAAAATGTACAATGTTTGGGACAAGTGTTCAAATGGTCTATTTCTTACATGAATAAACATTGTATTTGGGAAAAAAGATTAACCCAAGGTTGATTTTACTGACTTATAAGATTCTTGAAGTTATTTTCCAGTGCTATGGTAACGTAACGCTGGAATCCAAGCATTCTGTGTTTCTAAGCTTTCAGTTACAGCCTTATTTTACTTAGCAGGAGGCAGTGTATTCTGGCATGAAAACTCAAGTGCTGGGTAATGTGTAAATCCTTAAATTGACATATGCCTTGTCTCAGTAGCTTGCTATTGGTGTGCTTTGTTGCAGGGAGAGGCTGAAGGCTGGGGAGAAGAAGGGGAGCTGAACTGGGAAGATAGTAACTGGTGACAATGGCCGTGAGTTAAAACTTTAGGAAGGTTTCCTTTAAAAAAAAAAAATGAATACCTCAGATGCAGGCTGTATGGACAAAAAAATCCCAAAGCTGCCTCCTCCTTTCCCTGTCCCACGAGTTCTGTTTCCAGTCTGTGCCAACTGCGTTGGGAGACCGTGCTGACGCTTGAGTGCTGGCTGAGCCCAGGTGGCCAAGGGCTCATAGGACTGCTTCTAGGAGGGAGAGCCTTCGTGCATTCAGCCGAGCCCAGTGTCCACGAAGAGCAAGGAGCTGGGGAAAGGCTGATTTACTGCTTTAAAAAAGCAAGAAAATAAATATAAAAAGTCAAGCTGGTTAGCTTAATTTTGTGCCATTTCTTTAACAATGAAAAGAATAAGTTCTATTATGTAATACAACTTACTGAGAAAAAAAACTAGCTGTAAATTATAAATGACTTAAGGTTTCCTTAGGCAGCTTATTTATTTGTTTACAGTTGTGCTTTCTGAGTGAAAGGGCCTTTGTGGACCTAAGGTCCTTGTGGACCTACGGACTCTTCCACATGTATTACCTTGTACCAAAGGTCTTCAAGAGAAATATCACCCACAATCCTGCTCTCTAAACGTTAAATAAAGAGTATTTTCACTAGATTCACCTTTATAAAAGCTATTTTATATGTACTAGAAAATGTACAAATTACTGAATATTTTCATATACAAAAATCCTGACAGTTGACTGTGTGAAGCCCAGTCTGTCTAGTGAGAAGTTCAGTCCATTCAGCATTCACCCTATAGCATACTGTGTTTGAGCTGCTCAATCCGTGCTTGCAGTGCCTCCATTTCCACCAGAAGCCAGGCCGGAGCAGGAGCCTTTTGGAGCAGTGACTCAGTGTCTTCCAGGCCCCTTACTGCTGCTTGCAGAGCTGACCTGTACTGTTCTTCCAAGGGGAACTCATGGCGGGCTCTTTTTGCACAAGTCTGGAAGAGGAGAAAAACACGAGTCAAGTCATGCCATGATACCTAAAATAATGACCTTTCTACTCGCTGGCTTGGGACAGGATGGCAGCCCCCTTCCCCAGAAGTCTCTGGAACTGTAGGTGCAGGGGCTTCTGACAGTGTTCCCAAAGGCGAAGTGATGATGCTTCATCTCGTAATTCCTAGTAGGTGTTCTTTTGACATTATCTCAGCCTTTCCTTCGAAAAAAAGCTCCAAGTGTAAATTTTTTTTTTTTTAATACTAAGTGTAACTGGTGAGAGCTACAGTCTCAGATGGTTTTGGAGCCATTTAAAACATCAGGTTTTCAAACATCACTGGACAGGGAAGGTTGAGGTCAGGACATCTTTCGTAGTCTTCCTAAGAAATGTCACAAATCTAAATTCCTAAGGGTTTATTTCCCTGATATATTGAACTTTACAAATTTCAGACACAAAAGTTACATGTCTTAAATACAAGTTAATGTCATAAACTTATTTTCTAAGTTGTGACTAAAACCAGAACATTATTCCTATTATAGCTTACTATTCCAAATAACTACCAGTACCAAACACTATTTTGAATATCCCTAGTGATATCATTTCTGCTTTTTTAATGGGTAAATTAACTTTTTTATACTGCCAAAAATAGCAGGCTTGTTTGATGAATGAACAAGGGATCAAACTAAACATTTTGGAAGGAAGGTTAATTGATTTTTTTCTATTCTGTGTTGGTAACCTTTCAGAATACATGTGATTTTTACAAGAATAAGTACTATACAACAAGAATTTTACATGACTAGATCTATTTGGTTTGAAATTCAACGTAAGGATAAGAATCAAACCAGAGTAGAGTCAGGCATAGTGGTGCACGCCTGTAATCCCAATACTTGGGAGGCTGAGGCAGGGGATTGCTATGAGTTCAAGGCCAGCCTGGGCTACATAGTGAGTTCAAGGCCAGCTGGCCTGAATTACACTGCGAGACCGTCTCAAAAAAGAAAAAAGACACCAGAGTAGTTTTTGTTTTATCAACAAGGGCAGAATTTCCCTTGTTAAAGTTTGACCCACAGTGTAAGGCAGCCCATACCTGTAGCGATGACCCCTTTGGTACTTCTGCAGCCACTTTGGCAGAGGGTTCCCTAAAGATACCTTTTTCCTTTTTCACACGCTCCATTTTGGCAGCTTCAGTCTCCTCTATAAACCCAGTCTGCCAAAGACCACGAAAACACAAGTAAACATCAATACATTAGCATTCTCTGCTAGATGGAAAACTGGTCTAATATTCAGAAGATGAAAAGACTAAGTAACTTGTGGTATGTGTGTAAATGCTGAGTGTTGAACGGTTCAGCTTAACCTGTGAATATGGCAACTTCTAGAAATGAGGTTGACTCATCTGTAAATGCTTCTTAGGATAATGTGGATTAAGTCCCTCTACAGTGTTCTTCCTTACACAAAAATTATAGAGTCCACTTTCTGACCTTGACTACAGGCTGAGACAGTGGCAAAAGCAAAGTTTACACACATACTAGTCTAACTTAGATGTAATACACAGCAAATATGTAAAAAAATTTCTTTCATGGGTACCACTAGCAGCGGGAGTTTTCAAGGTGCACAAACATGGGAGCCTTAGTCATGCAAAGTGTTAGTTCTGTATATCTGTAGAAACATTTAAAAATATCACCATAGTGGAGAAATAGATATTGGCTTCAATCTGGGTATAAAAGCCACACCTAAATTAAACCTAAAATAAAAAATCTTCTCCAGCCCCTGTAATCAGGAGTCCCTAATTATGATTAGCATGGTTACCTCACTGCCCAGATTACCAGTATGACTCAATCCCACACTAGGGTGTTGGGCATCTCACTTCTCTGTCATGTGTTAAGTCTCCCTTACTAAGTCCTTGGGACCAGAAGGTTTGAGGCTACAGAGTATTTGTGGATGGGAACTGAGTCTAAACACACTCATTTATGTTTCATACATGCCTTAGATACCATAGCATGAAGGTAATCTTATATTTCTTATAATTTGTGCATAAAAAGTGTCAAAATGTAGAATTTTCCACTTGTGCATCATGTCAGTGACTCAAACTGTTAAGATTTTGGAGCACTTTGCACTAGGATTGTTCAGCCTATGTTAGCACTGTGCTGAGCGCTCTGGAAAATTTAAGCTCAGTTGGTTATACCTTTTCAAAAGATGGTGATAGAAATAGAATAAAACATGAGCCGTATGAGTAAATACCTTCTCTAGAAACGACACGACTTTGTTCTTAGTTTCCTCAGAACTGAGACATTGTGGCACTATCTCTTCATGATTTGTTCCCTATTAAAAGATTAACAAGACTGATATTAGCAGCTTAAAAAGACAAATAGCATGTGTTTGTTACCCTAATTAAAAATTTACTTGAATATTCAGTGCCACTTAAAGACAATAAGCTCATCATTCTTTCAGGGTTCCTTGGGAATAATACAGTTTTAACCTCTGTACAACTTTAGTGTTGCAAGCTTTAATTACTTCTGTTCTGTCTTACTGATGCATCTAGGCTCTTTTATGACCAAAGGCAGGTGTGTGCTGCACAGCAACAGAGAGGAATGAAGAAGCAACCCATGCCAGGTTAGTTCAGTAAAGAACCAAGTAACAGGCTTCATTCAGTTCATTCAGTCCATCCCCAATGATAGTTCAGTGATAGTTAAGGGTAAACCCAAAAAATCAAAGGCAGTGTCTGAGTTAGCAGGCCTGCTTAAAATGCCTGTTCCCAGTTCTTGCTGATTAGTGAATCTGAGGAAAGACACTTCATTTCTCTAGGCCTGCATTTGAGATCCTGTAACATAGCTACTTAGTAATAGCTCCTCCAGAAGAAAATTTACAAGACACAGGAGCATCTCAATAGGTATATTTGAAATGTTTTAGAATATTAGAAATATTAAGAAACTTTTGTTTTTTGGCAGTACTGGGGAATAAACCCAGGGCCTTCACACTGAGCAACCTCCCCTGCCCTATTTTATTCTGAGACAGGATTTCTCAGGCTGGGTTTGAATTTGAGATCCTCCTACCTCAGCTTCCCAGAGTGTGCTTGGTTAAGATGTTTAGAAGTCACTGTGATAAACCAGTCATTATAATTACCTCAGCAAACTGAGTAAACGCCTCCAGGGTGTGTTGTTCTAGCAGCCAGTTCTTGTCAGCTAGCAGTATGGCAAGAATACAAGACAGGTTGGGCAAAATTTTGTCCTAAAAAGAGAACCAAACCCTTATTAAATAGAAAAGAAGAAACCTCAATAGGGGGCCATTCCAGTGCCCAGTGTTGTCAGCTTTCCACTGAATGTTTAAAGTGTGATAAGTCATTTCATTGCATAAATTCTTCCAAGAGCTTCCTACTTCCTCATAGTGAAAGTTTCCCCGAATACCAGATGATCAGCCTGCTCCCACTTCAGGCTCTGCACCTGCTGTTTCCCCTGCTTACAGGTACTGAACAACCTACTCCTCATGCTCACTGACACATCAGGAGACTCCCACTATCTCCCATCTTGGACTGTATTCCCATGTACGTAACAAATTCCCTGCCCCCCTTTCTTCCTAGCACTCACCACCATTTAACATTCTGTATGTATCACCACTTTATTTCTATTGCCCCTCAACAAGCTGAGACTGGGGATTTGTTAGTTCAATTATTATATCACCAGTGATGAAAACAGCATTGGACACAGTAAGAACTCATTCATTTTTCTTGAATAAAAACATTAATCTCATCTATTGGCATTGCCTCCTGTATGCTGACCAATCCCCAACATTTCTTCAGGCCCTGACTTCACTTCTAGGGAATGTGTAACCATTGTGACTTCTGATAAACATCTGTTCTATAGGTTCTGGGCCCATGCAAGGATATATAAAGAAGCACTTTGGAATAAATTTTATGGTAAAAGGAGATGGCTCAGATGCATGTATCTTTAGATAATTTTGCCAAGAGAATCAAAGAAACTCAACTACACTTAGCTCAAGAAACATAGATTTACATATAAACAGCTTGCATAATGTTATTCACTTGTGAACAAATACAGTGGTATCTCAGTTCAGGAACTTAAATTTTTTCCAGGATTATGGTCACAAACCGAACTGGAGGAGAACCAAATCAAATTTAATGGTTAGGTTCAATGTTGACCTTATGGGGAAATTTATGGTTTCAAAGATTTTAATCAGTATGTCCTGAAATTGTCCATTATGTGCTTGTTCAGATTATACAAGAAAGTTTTTATCTTATCCTTGGAGATAAAAACTAGGGCGAAAGGGCCGGGGGTTTGGCTCAGTGGTTCCACCGCCTGCCTTGCAAGCGCAGGGTCCTGAGTTCGATCCCCAGTACCAAAAAAACCCCCAAAAAACTAGGGCAAAATAAGTT